AAGCAGGTGGTTGTGTTTCTTTCAGGAACCCCTGCCGGCTCGAAAGTGATCGAGTTCTTCTTGATGCAGGTTGTTCCCAAGCACATGGTGCAAGAGAGGAAGGAAATTACACCAGCTCCGGCCGACATCAAGAGCCTGCCATATGTTGCTGATCTCAATACGGTACTTCCACTAGGAAACAAACAGGCCGGGCTTTCTTTGGGTCAAGTTTCCTTGGTACTGCTTGTTGATCTCATGGTTGCTGCCATCACTCCGGCACTGGAAGATGTGGTCAAGTTGCTCCATGTTGCGCTCATTCTATGGGATCATTACATTGTCACTGTCCAAGAAGAGGCTAGAGAAATGTTGGTTCACTTGATCCATGAGCTGGTCGCTGCCAAGACGGAAGACGATTCCCCTGCTGGCACCAGGGAATCTATTGAGGACTTTGTGGAGATGATCCGCAAGAGTGACCCCAAGGTTGTGTGGGAATATGAGGACAACAGTGACAAAGATGATGCCGATGACGGCCGCCGTGTTCCCACGTCAATGTCTGATGTTACTCATAAAGTCGTCGGGTTTTTTAACCTTGCTTATGAAGGCATCAATGACCTTTGGGCAAAAGAAGCCTTGAATTGGGCGACATCGTGCCCTGTCCGACATTTAGCCTGTCGGTCATTCCAGGTATTCCGTTGCATATCCATGTCACTTGACTCCAGGATGCTAGCCGACATGCTCGCTCGCCTATCTAATACAATCGCAGACGAGGAGTCGGATTATCGGACATTCTCAATGGAAATTCTGACAACGCTCAAGATCATCATCGGGTCCTTGGCCCCTGCGGATCTGTTGCGCTATCCACAGCTGTTCTGGACGACGTGTGCTTGTTTGAATACGATCCATGAAACAGAATTCGTCGAAAGCATTGGTATGCTAGAGAAGTTCTTGGATCGTCTGAATATGAGCGATCCCATCGTAGTTGCAGAGCTCATCAAAGGCCAGCCACCCAAGTGGGAGGGCGGTTTCGGTGGTCTCCAGGATCTGGTCTATAAAGGATTGAAGTCAAGTGAATCTCTGAACCTCACATTGGACGTTTTGCATCGTCTGAGCGGCCTTCCAAACAATGATCTCATCGGAGATAGTGACAGGCTCCTCCTCACAGTATTGGCGAACCTGCCCCACTTTCTCCATCAGTTCGACTCGAATATTGACAATCCCAAGACGTTGGCACGGGCTACTCTACTTGCGCGCGTTGCCGAGAGCGAAGGGTGTCCTCGTATTGCAGCCTCTCTGCTCGGGTTTGCGAACGGACAGTATAAGGCAGAGAACGATTTCTTGAGCCATATCATCACCGAGCTGCGCTCCTACTATTTCCCTCGACTGGATGTTCAGAGCTTGATCTTCCTCATGGGTCTTCTGACAAATACCACTAAATGGTTCCGCGTCAAGGTCATGAAGATACTATGTGTTCTGATACCGGAGATCGACATGCGACGAGAGGAAGTTACGAGCCATGGCCCTGACCTCATCTCACCATTACTGCGGCTGCTGCAAACTGATCTGTGCCCTCAGGCTTTGCAAGTCATGGACCACATTATGACAGTATCGGCCAACCCAATGGAACGCCATCACCTTCGAATGAGCATGGCTTCGGCCTCATCGTCACGGGCCGTTCGCAAAGAATACGAACGTATTCAAAGTCTTTATGGAATACCCGAACCAACCGGATGGTCAATTCCGATGCCTGCCTCTCAGTCTAATATCACGCGTCAGAATGTTCACGCGGTGTTCTACACTTGTGCAGAAGTGGACCGCATGGAGGTGCAAGAAACCGTCAAGCCCGAGGTTGAATTTCATGCAGACGAATACAGTGACTCGTTCTTCCCTATGCGAGCAGATACCATGAAATCAATTGACACGCAGACGGACGGCAACATGGGAGATATTGTGCAGAAACTGGACAGCTTGGACGACTTTTTCGAGGAGGCGGACCCACTCCATCCGGTCTTAGACACCATCTCAGACCCCGCACTACGTAGCTTTGCTGGCGCATATGCCGATACGAGTGCCAGTCTCTATGATCAGCAAACGGCGCCGATTCTGCGCAAATCTCTTGCCAGGACTGCCTCGACATCCTCTTTTCATAATGGACTTGCAGAGTCCCGGCCGCCAAATCTACGATTCGATAGCGCTGGGGTACATCCTTCTGGTACATTCACACCCCCGGCCCCCAGCCAACTTGCACGTCCAGTGTCTCACACTCGGTCCGTGACCTCTCCGGCCAATCATTTGCCTTCGCCATCGTCGTCCAGTGTACAGCAAGCCACGCCTGTCATTGGCTTTGGCGAGTCTGCGTTTCTTTCGGACGATGAGATGGAAGACACGTTTGCTGATAGCAAGCCATCTATACCACATCCCATCAACCAGGTACGAAGCGCTACTGAAGGGTCATCGTCGCTTGAGTCGATGATTCGCAGCGGCATGAGACGGCTCACTGGTGGCACGGCCCCGAGCCGAGACAAGGAGCGTCAGCGTGATATAATCCGCGCACAACAACGGACACAGGCAATTAGCTCACCACGCGTGCCTAAAGTCCCCTCTGAATATTTGAATGGCCCGACGAGCAATCCAGCATCCCCGGGACAGCAATGAGATGCCCCCTGCACCTCAGAGTCCTTTGGTGGACGCTCTGTCCTGCGCAGCTTGGCATTCTATTGAACGGTCATTGGCATCATTTGACGGCGTCTCAATACAATTTTCTTTTCCTCTTCTGGCGTTCAACATACCCATTGTCGATTGCTGTGGTGTCGTACGAGCGGTTTTCATGTTAACTTCCGATGCACTGGCATCTCCCTTCAGTCTCTGTACATTATTTAATCTAGACATGGAACATAAAAAGCGACGTTCACCCTAGAGCGTAGTTGTACTAAATCTAAATTCGGTAAACCGTGACACGTGCAGTGAGTTGTAGTGACGCTCCGCGGCCTTGCCGAATTGGGCCTTCCCCGCACGAGGTCGGGGTAAAGATCGACATCCCCATATTCCATTAGTTCACCAGCATTACTCGATGTGTCTACCAACCACTTTGCTAGCTGAATGGCAAGAATCGGTTATCCACGGGACTACTACCTGACTTCAATTTACTGCTCGACGCCGTCCTCGGGCCCAGCAGCGCTGACCCCCCTCACACCGATGAACTACAGCCAAAGTGCTGCATTTACAGCCTCAACTTACGATAGCTACCACTTTTGCAGAACGACGCGTTCCACTGCTTGACTGTGAGACAAGAAGCCATTGGCAGCACCAAGCTATAGCACTTATTCACACTCAACAATGAATCGTCTCGGTGCTCTATCCCCGCTCCTGAGGGGAACCACCCGCATGTCAAGAGTAGCCCCTTCGAAGAGCCATCCTCTTCGAAAGCCCCCCATTACTCCAAAAAGGCTGTTCTCATCCTCTACACATAAAGATGCCACGTGGGGATTCATAGGGCTCGGACAAATGGGTACGTATGGCGCCAACCTCTCGAGCATGCGTGTTGCGGGTGGCTGACAGTGCGATTCTCTGTCTAGGATATAACATGGCTAAGAATATACAGTTGAAGATCCCCGCCACCGACACGCTAATGATTCGCGATGTCAATCAAGATACCACCGCGCGGTTTGTGGAGGAAGCTCGTCAGGCAGTCAAGCGAGCTGCTGCTGCTGGCACTAGCACTGGCATGGCCAATGTTGTCGTGGCGGAGAGCGCGAGAGATATGGCAGAACAATCTGTAAGTGAATAGAGCTCTCTTCGACGGTCGGAACATCGCGCATCACAGGGTCTATTGGAACTTCGACCCCGGACAGCATTCGCCATGGGATATTGTCTGCAGTCTTCTTGGATTCGTCAAGATTTGTCAATGCCCAATTGGGTCGCTAGTTTTGTCTTCTGATAACGTTTCCTGTTTCCAGACGGTTGTCATAACCAGCCTCCCAGAGCCGCAGCATGTCAAAGACGTCTTTTATTCCATCCTCCGGCACGGTGAACTTCCAGCTCTGGATCAGGAGCGTCTGTTCATCGACACGTCAACCATCGATCCTAGTTCTTCCAAAGAGATTGCGAATGCGATTCACACCACCGGCCAAGGTCGCTTTGTGGACGCACCTGTGTCCGGGGGTGTCGTCGGAGCCCGCAACGGTACGCTCAGCTTCATGTTCGGTGCCACGTCCCAGACCGGTCAGTTCATTGACCGAGTGAGGTCGGTTCTGTCCCTCATGGGCAAGAATGCGTGGCACATGGGCGCCCCCGGTGCCGGGGTCTCGGGAAAACTCGTCAACAACTACATCCTGGCGATCAACAACATCGCCACCGCCGAAGCAATGAATCTGGGCCTGCGCTGGGGCCTGGATCCCAAGACTCTTGCTGATATGGTCAGTACGTCGACCGGTCGGTGCTGGCCGATGGAGGTCAACAACCCTGTGCCTGGCGTAGTGGAGACGGCGCCAGCCTCTCGTGACTATGCCGGTGGCTTTGGCGTCAGCCTGATGAAGAAAGACTTACGGTTGGCGATCACGGCTGCAGAGGAGTCGGGCTCGCCTCTCCCCCTGGCTGACGTAGCTCGTACCGTGTATAATGCTGTGGAAGAAGAGCACCGCGGTAAGGATTTCTCGGTGGTCTACAAGTGGCTTCAGGATAGGTCGCAATAACAGGGGGGTTGAGTTTCTGGGTGGATGTTCGCTTTCAAGGAACCAAATGCCGCAGATATCGCGATGCCCTTCAATCAACCGCGCAATGAAGAGCAGCCTGGTGTCGAAGGACTATAACTCTCCTATCCTAGGAATTGAAGACCTAGGAGCACTTCTAATTGAAGACATGCTTGGCATACCAAGCAAGAGATAAATTCTGTTTAGTTTCCGCGTTCAATCCACAGGCTAGTGGGCATGTGCGTCGAACTCATGTAGGAATTAGTAAACACGAACAATGACACAGCTGTAGCGCCAGATATGGCACATTTTCCAAAAGAGCAACATGATCATCATTTTGTCTATACCAATTATGTAGAGATATTAAGAGTAATAATAGTCCCGACCAACGAGACACACACATACACACATATATATACGTACTCCGCTCACAGAAAGAAGAGAGAGCTCCGCAGCACCATCACGCACCAATGCATCCATCCAACTTCAAAGAGCCCGTCCAGGACTCTCGTCGAACCAATTTGGGATTGCCCCAACCTACTCCTCCTTCTTAACTCCCTCAGCCTCATCCTCACTCCAATCCAACAGCTCCATAATCTCCTCCTCGGACAACTTCTGCGTCTGCTTCTCCGCCTCCTTCTCCAAGCTCTTCTGATACTTCTTCTGCCTCTTGCGGGCATTCTTCCCCCACTCAGGCACCCCGCTCGCCGTCGCGAAATCCTCCTGCGTAACGGTGGACGTAGCCGCGGAGCCGGTCGCGGTCGCGGTGGCAGTGGCAGTGGCGGCGGCGGCGGCGGCGGTATCATCCTCGTCCTCGATCTCATCGTCCGTGTTTTCCACCTCCCCGAGCACCCGTCCCCCGCCGCGGAGCGCATTGGCCGACATGCGCGCCTTCTTCTTCTCGCCCTTGCCTGCGGCACCACCGCCAGCCGCCGCTTCCTGGGCGCGCTTCTTCTCCATGTGCTTCTTGCGGTCCTTCTCGTGCATCTTCTTGAACCAGGCTTCGATGTAAGGTCGGATGATCAGGTAGCCGACCACGGAGAGGATGACCTTGGTCCAGCGGCCCATGGAGACGTTGGCGAAGGAGCCGTGCAGGTTCGTGATGAAGCGGGTGACCACGGTCTCGGCGACGGAGTAGAGCTGCGTGAAGAAGTCGGTGAGGGCGTCGAGGGCGACGGCGCCCGGGTCGGGGGTTGGGGTGGACATTTTGGTTTTTTTTGGGGGAGTTTTCGTTTCGGGGTGGATTGAGGGTTGTTGGGTTTCGACTCTTGTTCTTCGATGCGGGCTGTTCAAGGTTGCGAGGCAGTGGGCGGGTTTGGCCGGATGTTCGGAGTGTGGGGGATTGGAATTGGAAGGCTTGTCTGCGGTATGACGGAAAAGGGCCTTTTTGACAAAAGGCAACAGACACTGCACCACAGAGCTCGGTGCTTGTTTCTCGCCAAAGACACAGAAAAATTGTATAGGTGAAAGGCCACCTCTCTGTCCTCGGTCAAGTAGCTTAGTTTCGCCGCAATAAATCGCGCATTCGGAGTTGAAATGCCGAAAGTGGAAATGTTTTTGGTTCGAGGTTAGCGTCATTCTCCAGGCCCGGGTAACGGATTAATATTTATTCCGGTGGGTTGAGCTTTGGCCAATCACGGCTCATTCTGCATACTCAACGCGTCCCCGACACAACTGCCGCGGGAAGTCGTCGCGCATCGGCAAGCTACAGTTCGGTCGGTATCATCTTGATAGGCGTGTGTGAATTGCGACTGGTGCATTTTGTCAAGTAGAGTCTGCGGTTCGCGTCACTTCATTACTTTCAGGTCTCCGAAAAGCCCTGTTCTCATAGCTGAAATTTCCGCGATGGATCAAAACGAGGAAGCTGGACTCGAAGAGGTATGTATCCCATTATCAGGGTGGTGCGATGCTTGCTCCACTGCGTGTACGCTTGGGCAGCTGTGCTGATTGTTGTCTTCGCACTCATTATAGCGCTTGAAGTCTGCTCTTTGGCTGGCGATTGGGAGGATTGTGGACGAAGAGACCATCAAGCTCGGTATCAACGCCACGCCTCAGTTCATCGGGGCGTTGACAGAGTTGGTCTGGGCTCAGATCGGTTGGTCTCTCTCATCTGCCTACCATCGAGATCAACACGCTGGATGTACGCTATCAGCAGCATCCTTTTAGATGTTTCTTGTTGGATGTTTTCTTCTCCTCTCGCACCAGACTACCGTCCGAATGCTGACTGAATTCCCCAATAGAGACCGTTAGCCAGGACTTAGAATCATTTTCCAAGTAAGTGATATTCTTAAGTGATTCTTTCACTCGAGGAACTTCCTCTCACAACCAAAAGCTGGCTGCTATGTTGTGGTTCTGTCTCGTGCTTTGGGACGTTGGCATTACGATATGCTGACATGCTCGGCTTTCCGTTTTAGGCATGCCGGCCGCTCGACAGTCAATGTCACCGATGTCATGCTCCTGGCACGCCGCAACGAGGGCTTAGAGTCCATTCTCCGCGCGTTCGTTGAGCAGATGCGTGATCAAGAAGCCTGATCCAATGGGGTTCCACCGACTGGTGGTCCCTCCGTCGGGATTACTTCAGTCCAAAGTCTATGTGCAGGTCTACCCGAAAGCTTCCATAACATTGGTGGCTGAGCTCCTCTGCCATTCAGAGCCAACTTCGAGGGTATGTAAGGCAAAACCATTCACTTCCATCTCATGTCAAGCCAGTAACCGGAGAGGTGGCTAACTTTCTGACAGGCATGGTGGCGGACCTTTTTTTTCAAACTTACAGTCGCGGAGATCAGATTGACGTGAATTTAGAAGGTCTAATTCGTCATGGTTCATGACGCCACTGCACAAGGTTCCTAACAACGCGAACAGGCACTCGACCTCGCCAGACACCATCAACCCTGGAGAGTCCAATCACCGGGCCGATTCTACCTCGGAGAATCTTGAACCTATCGCTGAACTACCAGCTGATATCTGACGTCGAACAAGAGGCAGCAAATCATGCTCGCGCTGCTCCTTGACCGGTCCAAAGAAACATGAATACACGTCCTGGGGCCACCCGTAAGGCCCGCTTCAACGCAGGGCCAATGCAACACCAGATACCTCATGTTGTAATGATTATCAGATAAACAGCCTCTCGTCCGACCAATTGAACACCATGTAGACAAAGCACTGTACATATACTTCAACCAATCAATGGAATCTGAAATCATATCCTGTCCGCGTGGGAGACCTTATATCGATTTAACGTCATTGCAACGTCTGCCTTTTGCCGCGACATCTTATATGGCATTCGGTTCATGAATACGGCTGTATACACTTTGCTTTTACAACAGAACTTCGCCGGATTCGCCATTGCGTTGCTTCACGAGGGTGTATAACACAATATCAATCAACATCATATGACGAATACAACTCGACGAAAGCGAAAATAAAATGCTGAATACTGCGACTGACTCGGTCAAAGCTCTTCGGACGACTCTCACAGGAACAGCACCCACCATGAAAGCCGTGCGCTTCCACGGACGGGGCGACATCAGGGTAGACGAGATTGAAGAGCCGACATGCGGGAAGGGACAGGTCAAGGTGATTTCCCCTCCTTGTAGAAGATTAATCTCTACTGACGGCCACGCCATAACATAGATGCGACCTGCCTTCGTCGGAATCTGTGGCAGTGGTAAGCGTTCTACCGTCACTACTTAAGCAGCCCTACTTCCGTACTAACCCTCCTAGACTTACACGAATACATGGGCGGACCAGTCCTAGTACCTAAAAAACCGCACAAGATCACCGGAGCCACGCACCCAGTGACCCTGGGCCACGAATTCGGCGGGATCATCGAAGAGGTGGGTGAGGGCGTAACCCACATCTCGCCGGGACAGCGAGCCGTCGTGCGGCCCACCATCTTCGACAAAGAGTGTACGTCCTGCAAGCTCGGCTACGAATACTGCTGCGAGAACATCGGCTTCATCGGACTATCAGGTACGCCCGACCACCCACCCAACCGACCGTCTTCCTCACTATTGAGCGAGACGAGAGCCAAGGACGAGCAACCCAGCTAACCACCAAATTACCTCTGCGCAGGGTATGGCGGCGGCCTAGCCAACTACATCGTCGCGCCGGCCGAACACTTCTACCCGCTGCCGGACACCATCTCGCTCGAAGCGGCGGCGCTGATCGAGCCCCTAGCGGTCGCCTGGCACGCCGTGAACATCTCTCCCTTCAAGCCCGGTGACAGCGTGCTAGTCCTCGGCGGCGGGCCCGTGGGGATCGGGGTCGTGCAGGTCCTCAAGATGCAGGGGGCGCAGAACATCGTGGTCGCCGAGCTGATGGCGAACCGCCAACGACTCGCGCGGGACTACGGCGCCGCGCACATCGTAGACCCGCGCGCGGAAGGGCCCGGCAACACGGCCGCGCGCGTCCGCGAGCTGACGGGGGGCATCGGCGCGGATGTCATCTTCGATACCGCGGGGGTGGAGGCGGCGCTCAACGAGGCGATCGGCGCCTGTCGCACCCACGGCACGATTGTGAATATCGCGGTCTGGGAGAAGCGGCCCGCCTTGCGGGTGAATGATCTGATGTATAGTGAGTTGAAGTATACGGGGTCGGCGCTGTATGATGAGAGTGCGTTTGTGAACGTGATTCAGGCGCTGAATCATGGTATGTTTCACGCCTGTATCTTTTTGTGGTCCAGTGATGTCGCGAGGCTCTAACATAGGTGATAGGCCAATTGAGCCCGGAGAAGATGATCACCGCGAAGATTGGGTTGGATGATGTGGTGGAGAAGGGATTTGAGGAGCTGGTCAATCATCGAGATGCGCACTGCAAGATTCTGGTCGATGTGCAGGCATAGAGCTTGGGATGGGGTTGCTGTTTACTTACTAACGACGATACGAGTTTCCTGTTGCTTTTGTGTATGAGATTATTGAATTTGCGCCGCCATTGCCATTGCATGATACTGCGGTACTCTCCGGATCTGCAAGAATTGAATGAACACCACTGCTACGTACCATTGAATACTAACAAGAGTCTCAGTTGAACAATCGCACCGCTAAGCCCCGTTGACACCGTACAGTACACATCAACCACCCCCACTCCCCCATCCCATGAAGTCCCACATCGCCCGTAGAAAATAGTCCTAGACACCCCCCGATTCGCCACCTACCAGAACCCCGCATACCGTGTGACGGCGACCTGAAGTCATACTTGCGATTCCATTGACCCTGGCATTATTGCTTTTCAGTCATAACGCTTTACAAGGTGGCAAAAAACATCAACTGGGTCCCATAGCTCAGTTGGTTAGAGCGTAACGCTAATAACGTTAAAGTCGAGGGTTCGAGCCCCTCTGGGACCAGCTTTCTTTTTGTTTTTGCTCACTTGGTTGGGTCTTATCCTGTGGTGGAAGGATGGCTTAGAGGTTTCTTTTTAGCAAGTATAATGTAATGTGGTGGGCTTGGGGTAGGAAAGTGGTCTGTCTGGTCTTAGCGGGTTTTGCGGGTGTACTGTAACGTATGTTTCCAGTATAGCTCACCGACACTATTCATATTTGTCTTCATGGAACGCGGACCCGCTAGTCCAGTATAGCATATAGGGATTGGTGGGCGCTGGTTTGAAAGCGTGCTCCTGGCCTTTATCTAACCTCACTTCTGGAATTGGGTTTCTGGATTCTGGAATACGACAATTCATGGATCCGACCTTCGGGAAATGCTCGCGACGTTCGTCGTTAGACTCCGAGGTTCTTCGTTTGGTATATCGGCGCCGTGCTTCTGTCCGTCGACTGTGCTTGGGATTGAATAATGACTAGGTATTGATTCCGGTGGCTGTGCTACTGGAAGTAGACTATAGGCTACCGCCAGTCTGCGCGTCCAAGGCCCTCGAGGCACGTCGTACCTTCACCCCACAGCTGCACTCCAGCTGATCCTGAGCCTACATCAACTTCCGGACGTACAAGCTATACTGGATGTACATCGATGTCTAGCGCGGCATTTGAACTTGGGCATGCCAAGCCCATCCAGCCACATACTAGTCCAGCTAGCCGGGCTTTTGGCAGCATCCACCTCGCCAGACACATGGTTGCTGCGTTTCTCTGCTGGTTGAAAAGGCTTCTGTCCTGGAAATGTTCGGATTGAAGCAACACAATGTACATCACATGGGCCACAGCAGCTTTGGGCGTGGATGGTGAGGATCGTGGATGCATCCGACTCTTCCTCCGCTCACTGACATCAACAAAGACATATCAGCCCTATGAAGCGGCTCGAGTGTGACAAGATGATCTGTTAAAAGACGCCTTGGTGTAGACTTCTTCCCCGGGTTGGAACGCTACTAGACAGTCCAATCCGACATTTCAGCAACGCTCTACATGACCGTAGCCGGAGGACGGACGGAGCATTGGGTGGTTTGGAGGGATCGTCTGGTCGCTGCGACAGGGTAGTGTTTAGATTTGGACATGCGATTCGCGGACTATGTATCTGTCTGAGAATCGGTCCAGTCAGGCCCCTCCCTGTCTTCTCCACATGGCATACACGACCAGGCCGTCATCCCAGTATACAGCCGTACCACGGGCTGCCTGATTCGATTTGATTTGCTGTCCGTGGGATGTACGTACTGTACATACTCTAGATGCGAGAAATCCACCACTCTTGCCCCATCTCAATTGATCTGAACACGTCGGCAACATACAGCAGGTTACCCATCACTGTAAACCTGCAAAAGAGAATGCGCAGGAGGCAAAAAGATGGTCCCAGAGGGGGTCGAACCCTCGACTTTAACGTTATTAGCGTTACGCTCTAACCAACTGAGCTATGGGACCCGCTTGTTGAAGTGGCGCTTGATTTAGCGCTCTATAGGTCACAAGTAAGCTGTAGGGGAAACAGAGGCACATACGTACCTGCTCGTGTGGTGTGGGGGGTTGTTGTGTTGTTCGAGGCGTTGAGAGTCACTCGATATGCTTAGATGCTGGGCTGGTCGGCCAGTGGGGCAATTCTGCAATCAGTGGGATGGTCTGCATGTGACTTGTTCGTGCATACATGGGAGGTCTCTGCGTTGGTGGATGTCACAGTATGTGCAAGCTGCTGAACCGGGTGGTATTGACATCGGATTTGGGGGACGCCCGCGAGCACGATGCTAGCCAGTACGTTTAGGGGTGCGGTGCCTCGTTTCTTGTAGGGCGGGTGCATGTGGTGGGCGGTGACTGCGGTTGTGGCATTGATGTGTTGGGTGGTCGTGATGACACATACTTCAATGTAGAAATGTGTCGAGTCGGAGGCAGCTTGCATCTAAAGACTCTGTGGGATTTGTTCTGGCTATGCTACTAGAATGTGGAGGCAGGGGGGAATAGCGCCTATGTGGTGATACTTACGATGTCCCAAACTCAATTCATTTAGAGTTTGTTGATAAGATTAGCTTTGGTTGGCGGACCCGGCCAGCCACGAACCTTGCTGGCATGGCATCTGGTACGAGACGTCAAGTACTGAAGCAGGAATATGCGGCCCACTTTGGTACACAAAAAGGTGCCAACTATCTGTCGGGTATGCATGTAACGAACGTGTAGCCGGAAAAAAAATAAAAATAAAAAAAAAGAGCTACGGCGCACAGCTCCAGTTTGTCAATGGACCTCCTTCAGCTGTCTCTTCCCATTCTCTGACCTCCATCTCGACCTCGGATTAGGTCTAATAAACCAAAAAGGGAATGCGTGGAGGCAAAAAGATGGTCCCAGAGGGGGTCGAACCCTCGACTTTAACGTTATTAGCGTTACGCTCTAACCAACTGAGCTATGGGACCCCACTTGTTGATTCGGCCGAGGATCAAGTGCTACATATGCCTAGATAATGCTGCCGTGGTCTTGTTCGTCCTAGGGAATCAATATTGGGCGGATTTAATGGCTAATTATGGACCTATTTGTATTCCCCTTTATTGTTTTCTGGCTCTCTGATGTCTACTGTTCTATGTGCTTTGGGGCTAGAACAATGGATTCATCAAACAGTACCACGACTCTGCATGTTCCATCGGCTAACCGTCTTCGGTGAGTTGACTGGCTTGGTCGGGCTGAGTAGGTGATTAGCACGCTCGATTGCTGTGGCTCAGGTCCTATTCTTGCTGGGCTGTGGTTATAATAAAGCATTGTAGGGTGCCGTGGGTCCTTCATCTGGCTTGCGTTCCTGGTCTGCTGTTGCGTCTGCTCGGGTCGCGGGTGTACTTTCCGTGCGTGGCGGATATATACCTTTGGTTCCAGCCGGTATTCCGATGTACTTGGTCACAAGACGCAGCAAAGGAACCAAACATCATGGATACAGATGCAATAGACTAAACCACGAAACAACAGCGAACGTCTCGAATACTGCCCCCATCGACATCAAATGCCATGCCAATCAACACAGACACGGATTACTAGATAGTAAACACCGCGAACCGGCAACTAGCTGCATGACCCCCGCACCCCGTTTCCCCCAATCGCTAGCAACCATCCTCTCGGCCTCACCCATCTCGCTATAAATCAAATCCCCAACGTAGAGAAGACAGCTGCTGTTTGCCGTGCTCGCCGCTAGTGATACTATTCATGTGTTCTCATGGGACGTCCCGGCTTCAACTAATCGATATTCGGATTGGGCACGTACGCGTGGCCAGGCCGCAAGAAGCACCTACCGCTCTTCTCTTCTTGTCCTGCTATCATCACCGATTCGGCATACTACCCCGAAAGTGAAAGCTGCTCAGCCCTACTTCAAAGCCCAGGAGGGACAGCCATTCGATCCATCGAGGATTTTTCTCCCCTTACGCAAACGTGCCCAGGCAACATATTTGGAATGAACCGGGACAGTATATGGGGAAGGGTCATCAGGAATTAGCATTGATTATCTGGCTTGGGGGAAACCACGCAACCTGGAGTTTTCGATGTAAAGAAGTCTCTGTGTGCACGGTAATAAGAAGCCTGGACGTTGTACCCAAGCTCGTGGGTGAATGACAGGCGAATGGTGATACAAGTAAAAACACGACCGCAGTAATTAGGTATACATACTATATGACCCCAATTAAATCAAATAGGAATATCGGTAGAAACGTAAGTACCAGGACCAGATCTATCTACAACAGACACCAAGACTCATACCCAAGCCCTCTCTCAAGCTACAAATCGACACACACCGCAAGCCATCCAATCCCCAACACCACAATCCTGCTATATCTCACCGATCTCCACACGAAATCAATATTGGAACATATAACATTAGCTCAAGCCCAAAAACAACAACCGGGTCCCATAGCTCAGTTGGTTAGAGCGTAACGCTAATAACGTTAAAGTCGAGGGTTCGACCCCCTCTGGGACCATCTCTTTTTGCTCCTGCTCCTGCACATTCCACTACTAGTAGTGGTCTGTTTGCAAGAGCATAAACTATCTTTTTGACAATCCCCACCACAGAATAACAAAGCAGCGACGACCGCAGTAACGCCGCTAACGTTAAAGTCGAGGGATAACCAGCGCACTACAACCATTGTATAGAGTCGGACACAGCCAAGTTCACGGTAGACAAAACACACAGCCTGGAGGCCTAGCAACACCCGTGATAGTCCCCAGCGCCGCTGATAGACGACCACATTCGAAGCATAGGAATGAGCACGGCCAGACGTCACCCACCAAACTCAATTTCGCAGTAGCGTATTCTCGTAGATGACGTACAGTCCATCCGAGGTCCCGGGATATGGAATTGAACTTGAATGCAATCCACTTCACACCCGTAGCCACCAGGGCACTGCACACACATACATAGTACAGTAGACGACATACAGTACAAACCGCGAGCAAGTAGGTATAGGCCGAGTTCTACCTGTTCCGCAACCAACCCGTCATAAGAACATAGCGTATTGTACCCAGCCCAGCAACCGTAAGTAAGTACTGTACCGTCCAGGAAAACAATCGCGCAAGCCAAGCCCTAAAACACAAAACCACGGCTAGAGTTACCTTACGCCAACAACTGCCCTTTCAAGCAACGCCTGCAGAACAAAACCCATACTGTGTCGATACCGGCAGCAGCACTACTACAGCCCAGGCGCAACAAGTCTCCTTTTGTTCAAGATCATCCGAGGATGGCATACACACGGTACCAAAGCACCCCGCCCCCATCCAAGTACATTGCACTGCAACCCAAAATACCAGGGAACCCACATGCACACCGGCTACTTCTACCCAGCATCTGTCACCTTTATCCAGTCAATATATCACCAACAGCACTGTATTCCCAACCCCAGCTCCTTCCCACTCCAACCCACCAATTCCCACCCCCCAGGATACCCAAGTATACACAAGACCTCACACCCGCAAATCCAGGGTCGTAGAGCACAACTTCACGCCAGCACCAACAACAACTGGTCCCATAGCTCAGTTGGTTAGAGCGTAACGCTAATAACGTTAAAGTCGAGGGTTCGACCCCCTCTGGGACCATCTTTTTGGGCCCTAGCATTCTTTTTTTTGCTATTGATTATTAATTATATTATCATCAGCTCATCCAAGGCGAGATAAGTGCGAGAGAGAGAAAGAGGGCTGCTTTTCTTTTTCTTCAATTCGCTGGACAGAAGGCGGTGGGGCGTGGATTGTTTGTCCTGCACTAGATATGCGTTTTGTGATGAGTGGAATGCGGTCATGATCCGATCGGATGAGATGCTATGTACAGTACAGTACAGAAATAAGTAGAGTGGTATCTAGCCCATATAAGTAGAGTCGGCAAGTAGGCAAGGTAGTCTATGCTATCGTCATCAACCTCTCCCAGTAAAACCCCACCACCGCTAACAAGCAAGTCTGCAAGACACCCAGATGCAACCTAACGATCACCCTTCTTCACCCCCTTCACCTCCTTCATCGCCTCCTCCACCAACCACACACTCACATCCTGCGCATCCCGGCCGACCCGCCAGCTCCCCAGCACCACACCGCGGGTCTCGAGCAGCTCCTGCGCGCGCTCCCACCGACGCCGCCACATCTCCTCCCGCTTATTCGGCAGCGGCGCGGCGGGCGGCGGATTCTCGAAACCCCCGGTACGGTCCGAGGCACCGCCGCCCCCGCTACCAGTGTTGGCTCGGTTAAGGGAGGAGTTCGACTGCGTGGAGCGGAGGATGTTGGCCGGGGAGGCGGACCAGTTGAGGCGTTCGGAGGCGTACTGCAAGGCTGCAGAGGCTGCTGCTGCGGGGTAGGATTGCTGCGGAGGCTGCTGCGGTGGTTTCTGAGGCGGGGTGGGACGGTTGGCTGTGGATTGCTGGGATGAGCCGGAGCTTTCCACGGATGCCAGGGTGTTGGCTCGACGGGGCGGAGGTGGAGGCGGAGCTTGTTTCGAGCGGGTGGGCTTGGCATCGCCCATCTCCTGGTCGAAACCGGCGGTCTTCGGCCGCGTGGGGAGTTGCTGCATCGTGTGTTCCACAGCTGCGGTCCGGTCCGGCGAGACTTCGGGCTTGGTGGAGGACCGACGCGGCGGTAGGGGAGGCACGGGCTTCCGTTTGATCGACTCCCCCACCGAGATATCGGCGTTGGTTGAATTCGAGCGCAGGGAGGAAGGCTTCGACGGTTTAGCCGGGGGTGTCCGTCCGGCGGGAGATACCGCGGGGGTCTTTCTTTCCCGAGACGAGGCTTCCCGCTCGTCATCATCACGGAGATCAATCAGATCGCCATTGTCCAGGCTGATGGCATCTGCAGGTGGGTTGTTGGCCGATGGTGCCAGAGGCCGGCGAGGCGGGAGCGCCGGCCGCCTCGGGGCTGCATCGGAGTCGTCGACAAGCTGGGGATCGCTGCGACTCGCGGACACTTTGTGTTCCAGATAGTCCACGGACTTCTCGAAGAATTCTTTCTTATGTGTTGTGGTGACGTCGCGGATGAAGATGCCCAGGATCCTGCCTGGGTTGGCCAGGACGATGTCCGTATAGACCTCCAGATCCGCCTCGCCGCTGTCGCCGACCAGGATGAACTTCCGCGAAGGAAAGTCTTTCAGGATCTGCTCGAGGTTGCCCTTTTTCCGCTCCGCCGTAGGCTCAAAGATCCCCTGGAGCATCCCACTGTACTGCTTGAGATGAATGGACCCCGGAGGCAAGCCGACTTGCTTGAAGTACCGCTCCAGGAGCGGATAGAGCTGCCACGGCGCGTTCGAGACATAATGGAAATCCACCCCCATCTTCGCCAGCTGGTTGTACCAGTCCGCCACACCCTCGATCGTTAAATCAGCCAACTCACGGACAAAGGTATTCCGGAAGATCTCCTTTGCGCCGCTCGCGATGGCCGAGTGCTTCACCGTGTCGTCGATGTCACTGATCAAACTGATCCCGGAGGGCTCGATGATCTGCACCTCCTTCACGACCGACAGATTCTCCGAGGCGAGGACGCGGATATGGGTCGGGACGAAGGGCAGGGCGGCACGCATCCTGAAGTGGCCGGACACATCCGTCATGATACTCCTCGACTGACTCCGGGTCTCGTCGAAGAAGAACACGGTCACCGGCATATCCGTGACGGGGTTGGTGAGAAACGGCCGCAACCGCTCCATCAGATGCGCATTGGCCATCGAGAGCTCGTCCTTGGTCATCTGCGCCGTCGTTGTCGTCGTCGCGGTACTCGCCAGACTCGACGACGTCCCCGTCCGCTGCGGCAAACGCCCCGGAACGACCCCGGGATTGTTGTCTCTGTCCCCCAAGGCACTCTCCTTCCACGCCGAGTCCGCGCGGCCCTCCGCCCCCTTGATAATGGACTGAGCCTCCGTATCGACCAGCTCCTCCTCACGCCGATCCGTCTTCCCCCCCGAATCGTCCCCCGCGCCAGCAGCACCCGCATTGTTCGCCGGAGCCGGCACGCCACTCAGCTTCCTAGCCAGCGCAACCATCAACCGATGCTTCCGCGTCATCGGCCCGCGATGCGGCGCATACAACCAGCCGCGCACATCGACCGAGACGACGGCATTCTTCTCCGCATAGTCATCGAACCCCGCCACCGTGTTCGGGTCCGCGTCGAGACCACGATACTCATCGATCGTGGCATTCGAGCCCCTCCGCCGGGCCCACGGGTCATCCTCATGATCCTCACCTACACCATCCCCATCTCTACCAGAATCATCCCTCACAATCCGCCGCCCATAACTCGGGAAAATCACCATCTCCTCCAGCCCGGACCGCGCGATCTCCACGTCCGGAAACGCCCCCGGCGCATCGCTGGTGTAGTACTCATCGCCGTAGTCCCGTTGCGACGACCCCGGCCCCCCTTGCCCGTTCAGCTGCGCCGCCCACTGCGCCGCATACGTCTGCCGCAGCTCGTTCGCCGCCTTGAGGTAATCGTAGACCTTCTTGCGGCGCGCGCCGCGACCGGCCCCGCCGCCGCCGCCCCAGGAGGAGGACTCGTATTGTGACATGGTCGTTGTAGCTGGTGCAGCCGTCGCAGACGTAGAAGCAGACCCACTAGTCCCAGATGTCTTCGACACCGACAATGGCAACCGTCCCCTACGACCCAACAAATACCCTAAAACCCCACCGCCACCACCTCTGCTATCACCACCGAACCGAACACCACCACTAACACTCCCCCGTTGTGCAAGTATGCGGGCCTGTCGCCGAACGATCGCCCGGTAGACGCGGGCCTGGGCGCGGTGCCGGAGCGCCGGGAGGGTTTCGTGGCGGAGACTCCAGAGGCGGAGCTGAGCGCGGCGGAGCGAGTGCGGGCCGAGGAGGAGGGTCCAGAGGCGGGGGTGGGTTTTGCGGGAGGTGGAAGATTTTAACGGTGGAGGGGCGAGGAGAGGGCGGTTGCGGCGGAGGAGGAAGAAGGGGAGGGGTCGTTTGCTGGTGTTGCTGGTGGTAGGTGTAGGGGGCGGGGGCGCGCGCCGGCGGGAGGAGAAGGCGGCGGAGGAGGCGGAGGAAGAAGAGCGAGGGAGGAATTTGGGAGCCACGGTTTTTCCTTTGAGATCAATACCTTTTCGGAGTGGGTTGTTGTTTAGTTAGGGGGTGTAAGTCGGTATTGCTGTGTGATGTGGATGTGATGAAGGAGGGAAGAGAGAAGTTGGATCGCTGGAGGGTGGAGGTTGTCAAGTTGAATTGATGGGGCTGTCTCGGTTTGTGTGGAGGCGATGACGAACTTCCTCGGGCATAAGCAACGAGAGTCTCAAGAGTCTCAAGATCTTGTCAAGGTGGCTTCATCTCCTTCTAATTAGAATTTCGCATGAACGAAGGGCTTGCTGTTTGAAGTACGGACAGCAAAAGAAAATCAAGACGTGATCAGTGAGCGTGTGAAGGGGGTAAAACAGGGCGAGGGTCTCGAAGCGCACTGCAACGTCAAGCTGACGGCCGGAAGAAACCCGCGGTGGAGACACACGCTTCGCCCAATTGGGATCAATTCTACCACTTTTATTGATGGCGTTGTCTAGACTCTGGAGGAACCTCATCGGTAAATTGTCACATTACCATTACGAAAATATCTAGCTGAGTCTTATATATATTATTGTACACTCTTGTCTAAGATATAGCCATGCTAGACAGTATATAAACACCCAGTGACTGTTCACAGGACGCTGCGAGGTCCGATCACTGGCCCCCAGAACCAGTATCTCTAGCCCTGCTGTGCGACATAACCCCACCGCTCAGCAGGACGAAGCAAAGCTTAGATGCTCGTGAAGAACTCGATAGATCTTCCGCATCTTAGCGGTGCATGTCCGCATGCCTAATGCACGGCTAATCTGCAGCTGCGGCAGCTGCCCAACAGACTTTACACCATAGCCAGACGACACGTCGGACATCAAGCCGAATCAGGGTCCTCGGTATAGTTCACCGTCTTCGCCCGCCTACTACGACGGACCCCAACACCATTCGTGCTGGTAAGCTCCGGTGGCTCCGGGATGTCTGGATTTTCCATGTCCACGTCCGAAGCAGACGGCGTGGAAGCGATAGGCGAAGCCTTCCGTTTCCTGGATGTCGGCTTCTTGACACTGGGGGTCCGCTGGACCCGCCGAGTGGCCTTGGAGGCTGGTGTAACCGGCGCCCCGTTCTCCTCTTCGCCGTTTGCTTCCGGCTCGCCTTTCGGCAACGGTGAACCGGCACTGGCGGCGTCCTTCGTCTTCCTCGAGACCGGTGTCTTTCGTGGGCTTTGAGGGACTTTGCGAACGACCTTCTTCGGTCGGAGCCATTCCTCCATACCCGGAGGCCAGTACACTCTTCGCTGGGGCCCGCCCATACCAACCTCCTCTTCCGGAACAGTCCGCTCGGGGGGTACTTGACCTTCAAGGTCGACGAACCCCTCCTTCTTCCTTGTCTTCCTCGGAGGCTTGAATTGTTTGTTCTCGTCCGTGCGCATGTAAGGTAACATGTCGTTGAAGAGCTCATAGCCTGGTAGCTTGAACGTCCTCATCAGCTCGAACACCGCCTGCTCCTTGTCCTTGGCTTCAATCATGAGATCCATGGTCGGATCGCAAGGAGGAAGAGTGGACACGCGGTCGCTGTGCTTTCGGCGCTGGCTATTAGTGATGGCAGCCGCGGTGGGCTCGGAGTAATGCATCTTCTGAGTGATGTTCTTCCGCGTCCAGGTCGCTTTGATCCGGTCATACAGACCGATGATATCCTGCGTCCCCTCGCGGACTTGTGTCGCATCGAAGATAATGTTATGATGGTGAAAGTCCAGAACAAGCGGGATGTTCAGCTCCTCGCAGATGGGTAGGAGATCGTGCACAGACCAGCTAACGTCGTCGTTCTCGAGCACAAGTCGGTTCTTGACATCCTGCGGCAAGGCCGAATAGTTCTCTCGAAACCGGTCGAGAGTGGCCTGCTTATCGCCGAAGACGCCGCCCATGTGCAGGATCATGACTGCATCGCGGTCCTGCTGCGGGGGCAGACGAAGCAGCTGCAGCAATTCAGCGTGGTAATCCAAGTCCCGCAGAGAGTTCTCCACCACGCCATCATTAGGCGAGCCGAGCTGGGTGAACTGACCCGGGTGGGTGGTCACGCGATGGCCCAGCTCGGCGACGAGTCGACCAACCTCGGCCAGCGTTTCCGAGGCGAACGGCGCCAGCTTGTAGCCATACTCCTTGTGACTCGCAAACGGGAACATCTCACTGCTCAGCCGCATGAACCTGATCCCATACTTGTCATTCCAGCGGATGATCTTGAGAAGATCCTTCGCGTTCGTGAGCCCCAGCGCCTCGACATACGCCTGCCCGCGCGCCACATCAGCAGGCTGATCGCGGTCCGGGCGATTCTTCGTCGGATGGGGCGGCTGCGTGGGATCCAGGAGAGGGTGCCGATTCTCCAGGATGGAGGCGATGCGGCAGGTTCGCGAGCAGAACACAGGCGGGTTTGAGTAGCGCAGGTATGTGTTCAAACAAGCCTAGGCGAATCATGTTAGAGGATGAATGACAAAACACACGTTGAATCCAGACAGGGGGAAGACTCACATAGCCCAATCGCCCTTTCCAGGGGAGCGGCAGGTAGCTGCTGTGGACGGGCGGAGGCCGCGATAACGCGTCCTGCAGCTCTTCCGCTTCAACCGGGACATCTTCATCCGACTCCGGATCCAAGGGGACAGCAGTAGAAGCAGCAGTGGCAGCATCGCTCGTCTCAATGGACCCGGGTTCAGCTTTGATGCCCGGTTTCTCTGCGCCGTCAGGCAGACTGCTGCCCGCGCCATCGGGTCTTATCTCAGTGGCGGCGGCCATTTCTTCAGCAGCCTGGGATTCGAGAAGCTCACTCGAAGCTCCGGATAACGAGCGAGACGGGATAAAGGTTGCAGCAATAGATGGGGTCACAATGCGTGGCGGAGAGGTAGAAGATAGGGAAGGTGTGGCAGGTCTGCTCGAGTACGACAAGAGGCGCCTGCCAGCAATAAAGCCTAGGGAGCGGTAGGATCTCTGCGATTGTGTAATTGCGAAAAGCAAATTCGCCGCTGATGGGGTGTGGCGAACCTGGCGGGAGGAGCCAGAGCCAGATTCCTGGCCGCGTCCGGCATATTGGAGAGCGCGATCGATCCTCCACTGCCTGGGCGAAGAACACCCCCGCCAATACATCTAGCAGGGCAGGAATTCTAGAAAAAAAGAATTCCAAGGCTCTAAGTGAGACAAATCCGAAGGCGCATCGTCAGAAAAAGACAAAGAGCTCTAAGGAGTCGAAGCAAAACAGGTCTGTTGGGCGGAGATCCCATGCATCATCATGGTTGCGCAGGGATTTAATCGGGACAGAACGCAGAGGGTATGATGCAACGGAGAGTCAAGGAAGAAAAGATGTCCGGGCTAGACGAGAGAGAAGAAGCCTTAGGCAGGGCACTAGTCACGGGCACTAAGCATGGTTCGGCGCCGCGGTTCCTGCATCCCGCATCGATCGCCGATAGATTACACTGCAGACGCCAAATGGCGCCTTTGGAGAATGTCTGGTCTACAACTATGATTTGAGAATCTTTTCGGGGAAAAAAAAGTAGTTTCATTGCATATGATACAACAGCAAGCTAAATGGAATTTTTGGGGGTAATTTCATTATACCATTAAGACCGCGCGGGTATCTGCGCAAGCCGCTGCAGGTTAATAAGTCTAGGCCACCGGAATCCCCGTCATGAGCGAGGCGATCCCCTTGGGGCCCAGAACATCCTCCAGGCTGAACCAGGAATACACCAGCGCGTCCGATGCGCCCGTATCATACGCCGAATCATCCTGGATGGGCTTTTTGTTCTTGCAGAACACCCGCAGCTCTTTGCAGGCCACGTCCCCATTCTTCTTCAGGTAGTCCCGCATGACGTCGCCCGCGCTCATGACAATGCGACTCACCAGCTCCTGCCCGTCGCCGGATCCGAATCCCATGGCACGTGCAGACTGGGCCGAGCCGCGCGCAACGTGATGGATGAGGATGACGATGTTGGAGATGAAGGACTCATCGGGCATGTATCCCTCGGTGAAGTATTGGACGAATTTGTGGTGCTCCTTGCGGCGGATCAGGCGGAGGAGTTCGAGGGAGCGTTTGTGCATGCCGAGGTAGTTGTACAGGATCATCGGCTCCTCTTCGAAGAGTTTGGTCTTCAGGAAGGCGAGCAGCTGCAGGGTGTCGATAATGTGGGAATTCGACCACTGTCGGGTGAGCATCAGTTCCGGGTTGGCTCTCTGCTGGAGCTCCTTCTTGCTGGAGGATGACTCAAGCTTCGACTTTTGGGAAAGCTCGTCCAGGATGCTGTCGATGTGCACAATCCCGACATCCTCGCCGGGACCAGCACCACTAACGTACTGGGTGAAGAACAAGTTCGCGACGGTAGTGGTGGGCTTGAGCACGCGAGCGTTCTTGCCATCAGGCTTATGGAATGGCCCGCTACCCCGCGAATCGCGGGCGAAATGGGTTGCGGACGAGATTCCGGTGGCCAGCTCAAGTCTGTTCAGAGATTCGCTGGCGTTCTTGGGCCGTGCACCCACGAAGATATGAGACTCGCCATGGATCTTGACAAATGCATCCATATCGGGCCATCTCAGGTCTTTGTGCATGGCACCATTCATGACGAGGTTGTGCAAGAAGGCCAGCTGTTGAACGTCGTACCACTGGGTGACAAGCTCCTGACCCACCCGCTGTATTCGAATATTGAGGTGGAACAAGACCAGGCCACAGAGGATAGCATGCTGCGAGAAGAGTTCATGCTTCTCGGGCGGAGTGCCAACTCTGTCCAATTTGGACAGGGCTCGAACGTCGAAAAACACATCTCCTTTGATCCATGCATCCACAGTTGAAGTAATGCTTCGAATCTCCTCATCGCCCTCCCTGGGCCAGAATTTGGGCTGAGGGTGTGTTTTAGACAGTTGCAGGTAATCATCGATAGTCTTCTGGATGCGGAGTCCAGACATGCAGAGATCTCCAAAGGCGCCTAAGGTACTGTGTCGCATCGCGTGGTGAACGTCGAGGAAAATCTGGGCGGCAAAACAGAGCCACAGACTCACCCTTTTGGTCTTGGCGAACTCAACCAGGCCCCGAGTGATTGCATCCTCGGCAGGCAAGTGAATGCCGAACGTATCGAACATGCAAAACTCGGGCAATATCGAGAGAAGGATGATCTTGTCTTCGTTGAACTTCTCGCCCAGAGACATCCGCTCCCTGTCCGCTTTCGGATCGTAGATGCCGAAGTGGCCCTTTCTGAAGACTGGCTGGTGATTTGCCTGGAGGACATCCGCAAAAGACTCAAGCAGGATCTTGGTTGGCAAATAGCACCACTCGGCGGTATCAGCCAGGTTCTTGTTGTAGGGCAGGCCAATCTCCTTGGACGGAGGCGCAAAGATGCCGCGCGAGAGAGCAGCAAGCTTGTAGACAACAGTCTGAACATCGTCCTTTCGCCCGGACAGCGAGCTGCGCCAGTCCGCCTCCACCTCCTTGACCAGGCCTTGGGCAAGTTGCAAAGCACTGTCAGTGACGACAGCCGCGTTCATGAGGTCGATCTTCTTCTCGTGATACTCCGACCAGGTGATGGAAATGAACTTTCGCATGTTGTCCAAATCCTGAAGCAAGCAGAGGGTCTTGAAGAACAGCTGGCCCAGATACGAGTCTGCTGCGTCCTCCTCGTCCTCTTCTTCATCGACCGTCACCTTGACGAGCTTCTTCGACACTGCGGGTGTCGGTTGAGACGGCGCAGCTTCCTTGGGCTCCTCCACCGTGAGGACCGCGAATCTGTTCAAGAATTGGTCGGTATCGACATCGTCGGGTTGAGGCTGCTTGGCGTCTGGCTTCGTCGAGGACTGGCTGGTCTTCCACTCCAGAGTCTCGCAGATCTGCTCCAGCGCCGTGATGAAATGAGCATGACGCTTGTTGTTGGCAGAGTCGCCCTGGCCCAGGAACCAGGATGTGACCGCTTTTCTCAACCTGATGGCGCGTTTCGCAAGGGTGAGGACCGACTTGGGTACTGGGAGAGTCGAACTGGCCACGACCTCTGCGAACTTTTGCAGATCTTTGGTTGTGGCGCTATACTGAATTGGTTCTGCATCAGTGTCGCCCTTTTTGCCTTTGCGTTTGTCTTTTTTCGTCGCTGCGGGGAGGGTAGCAGAGAGGGTCGGCGGTTGATAGCCACATCGATTAGCTGTCTCTAGTAGCCATGTTGCAAACGTGTTGGTGTCCGCTTTGTAGCGGGCGTAACTACTCTGTAAGAAGTCAGGAAGCATGCTTGCGATAGTCGGATTCCAAAAGCAAAGAGCTCTCTGAGATGAAGAAAAGGAGTGGAGAATGGTGTGGAGGTGGAATGAACCTCCGGGGTGTGTGTTCTTAAACTGGAAATGCTTGTTTGCTCCGACCATTTATAAGAAAGCGGACAACGCGAGGACGCGTGCGCGCGACACATCAGAGTTAAAGTGGCTAAAGTACAAGTGGGTTGCTTGGAAAGCCGCACAAAGGTTAAAAAAAGGTGTATTATAAGACATATATAAAAAGAAATTAGATGAGTAATACTCCTAAGAGAAATTGATATACAAGATTGTGCTTGATGGTGTCAAGGTTGGTATAAGGTGAAAGGATGAGCTTCATACTGTCACTCCCAGCCGTCCACTCAAGTCAAATGTGAAGCAAACTCGGAAGTTTTTTGGCCATGAAAAATGCCATACTACGTGGTTCGGATGGCATCCCAAAGTTTCGTTGTCTCATCATGTTCGTCCACGAAGTAGCTAATTCCTCCTTTGCGGGTCTCACGCCCCAATGTAAGTATGAGCGAACCGACCACACGATGCAGGGAAGATAGTGCAGTGTGTCTAGTAATTAGCCGAATAAGCAGAGTTGCCATAGCCGTAGCCAGGAGGAGCTGCAGCCTCCGGCGCGGTGTGCTTGTTGCGCGTAAACAGACCACCCGTACCGCTGGTCTTCTCGGTGGGAGAGCTTCCTAGCTCAACGTCGCGGGGTGCCGGATGGCTGGGGAGCATGTCATCCGCACTGGCAGTCTCGGGGTTGTTCTTGTTGCGACGCCAGAAGAAGCCCCGGCGCTGCGTGCCGGTGCCATATGTGTACCCGTTGGCGGGGGAGGGGCCGAAGCGCTTCTCGCGCTTGTGGTGACGGGCGAGAAGGACTTGGAAGAGGATGGAGATCAGGAACAGGAAGCTATATTCAATGCAAAGTTAGCACACAAATATTTCACTCGATGACGCCCGAGGACAGAGTAGGGTGACTCACATTCCAATGATAGCGACAGCAAATGAAGCCTTCTCCAGCACGCACGCATATCCAAGGCGCACGTGAGTGTTGGCGTCGTCGGTATTGCTAGCACCGGAACCTAGCGGAGTGTCGACGTGGCCGGAGCAGCTCTGGGTGCCTTTGCGAGTCATTATGGCGATAGCAATCATGGCTCCGATGAAGCAGACATCGAGGAGGACGGCCACGGCAGCAAAGAAAGTGACTCCGCCCAAGCAGCAGGTGAGAAGAATGCCGAGGATTCCGTAGAGGGTTGCTGCACCCGATAGACCTTCGACGGCCTTCATCCATTGAGGGATCGTCTGATCATGCCGGGCGAGAACAGCGAGGAAGTATGAGAAAATGCCGAGGATGACTGCGGCAGCGAGAAACTGGAGGATGCGAATCGCTAGATTCGCGAAGCGGAGGATGACACCGCCGACACCCATGCTGGCAGTCGATGGCTCCTGCTTTAGGTGTTTTCAAATAACAATAGGCTTGTTGATTGTAGATGGGCCTGTATCAGTGCAGCCCACTGGCCTGTACTGTATTGCCCGATTGGATTGGTGTTTTGGTGTTTGAAGCTAGTGAACAAGTCTCGAGGCTTTTCAAACTGAAATGCACCGGGATTAGGGGACTCAGGCTGTGATATACTGACGGAGGGGGGAAGAATTTGCAACGGGCCTGCCCCGGAAGGCAGCAGAATTGCATTGTTAGCAGGCCCAGGGGACGGGGGAGTGTGTGGCAGTAGGACGATCAGTGGATGCAGTGGAGGTCATGTCCCGTTGAACCGCGGCCGGAAAGCGTGGGCGGAGCCTTCACAGGCCCTGTAAAGAGGGGAAATGAACGCATTGCGACGATCCCACGGACAAGGTCCAGCAGTGGTAGCTCAATCATTGGCTTTGAAGGATGAATTAGGATGTCACCAGCCACACTAGACATTCGGACCCTGACGGTGGTGATATCATCAGGGTGGAGGGTGGAGGAGGGTGGAGCCGGCCCATTGGCGGGTAGACGCAGGTCTAAGCCCTGTACGTACCGTACTGAGATGAGAGTACCCTCTCGTGCACCGCCATCCGCCCAGTTCAAGTTAGTGGGAAAATGTTAATGATTCATTTTAGGTATAAGGAATTCCGTGGACGGCTTCGCCGGATGTTCCATTAATAGAGTACTGAGTAGGTAGTTAATTTCCCCAAAGAAAAAGCTAATTAACTGTCTCTATTCTGGGCAATGAACTTCCATTGTTTATTTGCCTTGGACACGGCAGTAATTCCACAGTACCGAGGATCAGTCCCAGGGATAGGCAAAAGCAATCCACTGGAACCATATACCACAAAAAGAAAACCAAAAAGTCAAAAAAGAGCTGGTCCCAGAGGGGCTCGAACCCTCGACTTTAACGTTATTAGCGTTACGCTCTAACCAACTGAGCTATGGGACCCGGTTGATGTATAGAGCCTCGAGCTTAGGCTAAATGAAGGTTGCCAAGCAGGGACGTCGCTTTCATGACTATCTAATACGTCATAGTGGGAGAGCGCCTGGTCCTGCGTGAAATCGAAATAGCCCAGGTCCGATATTGTCACAATCACGTTGATATAGTTAAAAGGTCAATAAGTCACTCGGGGCAATGCGTGCCGATACCACACCGCTGCGCATCCCATCTTATGTACCTGTGATCCAGGGTAAACGTTGAATTGGGTATATATCAATTGTCTGGCCGAAGGATAGTCCGGATGCCGCTGTGGTGACGCGGATTGCCCCATCAAAGCCCAAACGCCCGCCCAATTTTAAGCACTCAAAAGCGAAACCAAAGCCCCCACGGTAAAATCAATGACGCATCGCTGGTCGCCTTTCATCATCACCCATCGACGAGACAGATGAGATCTCATCGAGACTCGCGCGGTGAACTAGGGATGGCCCTCTACTGTATCTCGAAATCTCAGAGATAGTGTCATCCAGGGGATGGTCGAACGGGGATGTCGGCCGCTCGCGCCTCGATACTTGCCGTGAAGGAACGTCGGTACCCGTCACTGGTGATATGTCTGCCTCCGCACGCTCCGGATGCCTGGAATATGGCGGTGGCTGTTCCAGTGTAGTGTTGATCCCGGGTGTCAGGCTGGGTTGACTAGCAGGCGCGTCCAGGCTGCGTGACTGGCTTGTAGCGAGACGGTCGCTCAAGTGGTTCGAGGTGTCGTATGGCATAGGTCCCGTGAAGGGAATGTTATGGGTACTAGCGTTTGTGAATCCCCAGGGTGTCGCTTGGGGTGGTGGCGATCTCGGTAAGTTCTGCTGCGGTTGGGGTAATATTGGTTGTCGAGGGACGGTTACTACATCGACCTGAGAGGTAGATGGGATGGCATGGCCTCGAAGGCGACGGCGCCTCCGTCGGAGGAGGCACAATAGCAGCCCCAAGATGATGGCTGCGCCCGCGACAGCAACAGGGATGGCGATGGCCAGGGTTTTGGTGTTGCTGCTGCTGCTGCTGCTAGCGGAGGAAGTCGACGTGGAAGACGTGGTTGTTGATGTTGTGGGTGATGGAATAGTGGTCTGGGTAGCTGTGAGAAAAGAGTCGGCTGCTGTAGGTGTCGTCGCGCTGGCGGCAATAGACTCCGAAGGAGATGCATTTCCCCCGGCTTGGGATGTGCTGCCACTGCTGCCACTGCTGCCGTTGCCTTCCCAACTGCCTTGACTGCCATCCTGAGATCCACCTGTGCTACCTCCCCCTGACCACTGGCTTCCACTATCTATTCCAGACATGACAGCAGTGATTGAATGGTCTGACCATCCACGTCCGTCGTTGTTGACTGAACAGAATCGCCCAGCAAGGTGGGTAAGATAAGCCAAGCCAGATCGATAAGTACGATATAGCACCACTGAGAGAGTTTCCAGTATATTCGACGCGAAGAAGCCTGGAGGCAAGTGGAGGCCTCAAAATCCTAGGTCAGTGTCGAAGGTGCACACAGACTGAACACACAGTTAACGTCTCACCACGCGTCTGAAGCCAGACATATCAACATACCAAAAACCAATACAAAGATCAAGAGACCCTGAATTGAAAGAGCCTTCCTTCTGTTTATATGCTTATGTCAGTATACTGTATCTGGTCAAAGAACAAAGAATCAGCATATACTAACCACAATGAACACTTATGCCCTTAGTAAAAGACCGGACAGAAAGTCTCTACAATAATATCGAGTAAAAAAAAGTGCAAGAACTCCAGAAGAATAAGAAAAGAAAAGAAGAAACGAAAGTCGGAAGCAACAGGATAGAGAAAAAAGAGAGAGGAATGACATGGCGCAGCAGCAACCTCTTAGTGAACCAGGTATAGTACTATAACCTAAGGCCCAACTTCGAGGGCTAAGGAAGTACAGCCCGCGCCCGCCTCCCCATGTAGGGACCGGCCTACCAATCACCACCAGCTCTGCACGGCGTAAAGCGCCGGTTCATGCCATGGACGACGCGCAATGCATTAAGAATAATATTCTGCCCGCTCACGAGGGTGAAACGAACAGCATTGTTAGCCCCATCCCCCCCCTCCTCCTTACCAGTCGGAATGATTGGCGCCGAAGGCTTGTTGGGAGCAGAAGAAGATGTACTAGGGTACTTGTACAACTGGCACATGCTAGGGTTGAAACCGTGGGCAAAACCGGTCGCCCTGTGGAATAAATGGAAACAAAGGATTGCTTTGCCTCCATACTCATGTGTCAATGAGCGCGTGGGAGTTTTAGGTCGATTGTGGGTGGGTGGATGAATGGATGCTCCACCGAATAGCCCGATCGACGCATTAGCTTGAAGTGAAGGGGGTCTGGAGACGTCGTCGCATTGCGTGGCCCTGAGATGCCCTGGATTATGGGGCTTCGTTTGAATCGGTTGTGATCGCACGGTCTGGGCGGGGCGATATTATCGTTCAATTTCTTCCACATGATAGTTGAGGTTGAAGACTAGAATCCAAGACTCAAATACCAAAGTACAGTGCTTTGTATCGCATACGAGTCGGGTGAGAAGCAACAATCTGGAAAGAGGGTGTAAGCTTGATTTGTTGTTTGACCACTCCGTGTTTCACGGCTGCCTTCCGCCAACTACGCCAACACAGCCACCCAAGGCTGCATTAGGAGGATGCAACTTGCACTTGACCTCGGAAAGGTTGAATTCCTTCGAGCTTAGTTTAGTTGGATAAGGCTCTATGCACGCTATGCCTACAGCGGAAAGAATGTTATTTCGATTCTAACCCACCAATAAATCGCTCTATTTCCAACGCGTATATATACAGTACACTTAAAAAACTTTTGGATTTATACAATCACCGCCCTTTCCCATAGTCAGGCGTGTAAGCCTTGACCTTGCCTTTCGTCAACTCTCTCAACGCCATAGTAGCATACTGGCTCGATCCAAGCTGGAATTTGAGCACCACAGCGAGTTTGCTCTCTCCCTGCTCCGGGGCAACGGCCTCCTCGGCACTAGCACCATCCTTGCCCTGACCCTGAAGTCTTTCCAGATCGGTCGCCACGAACTGCTCATCATCCCTTTCGTAGACCTTCACGTCGACCGAATAATCCGGGCCCATGCGGTTCAATAGCTTGCGGTATCCGCCCGTCAGACTCACATCCTTCCACTTCCGGCGCATATCGAAGGGATCAAGGCCACCACCTTGCTCACTGCCCATGAACTGCTTGTAGAAGTCCGTCATGGCGTTTGCCGGGTACAGCACATCGTAGCCGGGGAGTGTCAACACGACATCGAAGATGTTGTATTTGCCGCTGGCGGCTTCCTCGGCGGTAAGGGCGCGGGCGCGCGTGATGCCCTCGGCCGCGTAGGCGCTGTCGCCGGTCGCATGGGGGGTGATGATGACTTCGCCGTCGGCGTCAACGGTCTCGGCCGGTTCGGTAGTCGCGGCTGCGGAAGCGCCGGTGGCGTTGGCGGAGGAGGAGGTCTTGTCGGTGTGTTCGTGGATCAGGACCAGGTCGCCTTCGACGACCTTGTCGCCGTACAACCGCCAGCGTTCGGTGGCAGCGAAGTTCCACACAAACGACTGGTAGGCGTGGACATACATCAGGCGCAAATTACGGGGCACAGCCTGTAGGGCGCCGAGGTAGTCGGTCTTGGAGCGACCCAGTTGGCGCATGATGTTGGCCTCGGCGGAGAATTTGCGAGGCAGTTTCTCGAGCGCTTTGCCGGCGTTGGCGGTGGTCGTGTAGATGTGAATCGCTTCGGCGCGCGCTCGGTCGTCGGAGCTGATAAGAGCGGAGGCGGCTTCTCCCTGTTGCGCGGCATCTAGGGTGTGCGAGCTGTAGTGGAGGATGGCGTCGCAGGCGCCCTTGAAGTCGCCTTGAAGCATCTTAACGCCGACGGTGTCCGTGCGCGTGGCGTAGGTTCCAAAGCGCTGCAGACCGAAGTAGTTGAAGTAGCCTCGTTCTCGAAGGTTGTGGAGGGCAGTCTTGACAAGGTCGGTGGACTTGGCGATGGCGGCTTCGCGGTCCTGAAGGTCGACGACCCCGGGAATTTCGCAGTCGCGGAGGGTAATGACGAACTCGTTGCCGTCAAGATCACCCAAATCGAGACCATACTTGCGATACTCGAAATCACCGAGGACTGCGTTACGGAGAGTAGAGTTGATTTTCTCCAGCCGCTCGGCCTGTAGTCGGTATGCACATGCCCTCTGGACCGTCACACCGCGTCGATCCTTGGTACCGGCGAACTGGAAGGTCTTCGAGTTCACTTTGAGCTGGCGTCCGATAAAGTTCAAGATCTCCATGGTATCCTTGTTCTCCTTGTAGATGGTGAAGTGCAGGTAGGGGCCGCCCAATTCATCCCAGTTGATTGGAACACGCGGCCCGCCATTGCCATTACCGCGGCCACCCTGCGCCTTCTTGTTGTTTCGGTTCGGAGCGACAGAGATGTTCATCATGCCCTCACTGTCGGTCTGGGACTCAAGCTGAGAGTTGAAGATGCGACGGATGGCCTGGTGCATCTTGATCCGCAGATCGCGATCGGTGACCACAACGGTAGCGATCTTGCTGAAGTCGCTGGGCCTCGACTTCGGGTTCTCAAGAGCACGCTTGTTCAGCGCCAGAATCTTCTGTGTGGATTCCTCGCCGAAGAGGGATTCGAGGAGCGCGTTGTCTTCCTCGCTGATCTGGAATTCGGGGGCCGGGGTTTCGGTGGTCGGTGTCGCATCTTTCTCAGCTGGGGCTTGGGCGTTGTCTTCCTGCTGGGGCTTTGCGGCTGGCTTCTCCGAGGGCTGTTCCTTCTTATCCAGCTTGTTTTCCTGGACTGGAACGTTCTGCAGATGCAGCACTTCACCGGACGGCACAATCTCGTTCACGAGGAAATCGGTATATCTAGATGCGAGGAGATGCAATTAGTGACGACCCCATACAAATCATGAAGGAGCCAGAGTATACCTTTTCTTCAAGATCCCGGAGAACCCTTCGTTATCCGCACTGACATAGCCGGTGATTCCAACCTCGATCTCCCTCCGAGCCTGCGCATCGTCGGCCGAGACTGGCGCGGCGGCGGGCTCCTCCGCAACGGGTCCGCCAGCCTGGGGAAGCACAGCGTCGTCCGTGATGGATGTGTTGTCAGTCTTGATCCGCTTGCGCGGCGACTCAATCACGTCGGTGCCCTCCATTGCAATGGCTGCTTTGCAGATAGAAATATGGCTGAGTTGGAGACCGGGATCCAAGTCATGAAGATTGCGGAGCTCCAGAAAGTTACCGTCACGTTTCGCCTTGGCTGGATTGAGTTAGGAGGCGGGGGCTAGCCCTAAAAGGAAATCCCGATCGGGATGAATTATAGATCAGTCTAGTCCTCGGCGGGCAGATGTATAGATACCTACTGTGGTTGACTCCGTTGATTTTGTTAGTACAGTGGAGATGCAGGGATTCGAATTCTTTAAAATTCTGCTATATATATAATTATTAATACTTTGTATAGCTATCTTTAGTGTTGATAACTGCCTTACACCTTACCTTTATACTTTTAATTAATTTTTTTAAAAATTTTTTTAGTAAAGTATTTTAAGCAGCCTGTACAACCTCTTGTAGCTAATTATATAATAATTACTTATTATTAAAAAAAAATTAATTAAGCTAATTTTTTATCCAATTCTATATAGTCTTAATTAGATTAAGATCCGGCAAAAAAGCAGACCAACTAATTAAAAAAATTCTATACTTTTAAAGATTTTAGACTATATCTCTGCTTATATACCCAGGCATATTATTTTATATTAATTAAAGCTGTAGTTGTTTATTATATTTAATAAAATATATATAGCTGTAGATTATAGAAATAATATATTTATAATAATATTTAATATTAATACTACCCCAGTTCTTTTTTTAAAAAAGATATAACTTTTTATAATTTTTATAAAAAAATATTTAAAATATTCAGCTATATTTATATAGTAGACTTGTATAAAGGCATATTTTGTTAAGTTCTTTACCGGCTTTATAAGTTATATAAATCTGTTTATAAAAGCCTAAAATTATTTAGGTTTTATTAGTTTAAAAATTTTAACTCTACTAATTATATATCTAATTTAAGTATTTAAATACCTAGGCTAACTTTACTCTTTTATTGGCCGGAGTAAAAAGTAGTTTATAAAGTACTTTACACCAGAAATAACTTTTTTTTTTAAAGTATAGGCTAAAGCAGTTGCTTTAATAGAAAGTTTAAGCTTTTTAATAATACAGTAGTAGAGTAAGCAGTATATATACTTTAAACTAGAGATCTATTATATAATTTTATTAACTTTTAATTTTAATAGCTTTGCTTTAGTGTCTTTAGCTTTTTTTAGAGTAGCTTATTAACTTTAACATATATATTAAATTTAGCAATAACTAATTTAAAGTTAATTTATAATTTGTTAATATATTAAGCTGGTATTTTAAAAAGTAAAAACTTATAGACAGTTATCTTATTAAAAATGCTTTAAATTTGTTGTTTTAAAAAAGGTAGGCTCAGGTGTTAAAGGCTCAGATATTAAAAATATTTTTAAAACAATAAGAATTAGTATATATTAATAATTTTAATATATTTACGGCTTCAAGAAGTTAACACGTAGCTTGATAAGAAAGGCGGTGTGTAGTAGTAGATATACTGCTTAAAGGATTCAAATCCCTACACCTCTCCACTGTACTAACAAAATCAACAGAGTCAACCACAGTAATCTACACATCTTTGAGTTTCTTCTATTCGTAACGTGGAATCAAGTTTTATAACACAACAGTGACATTCTAGACACGTGAAATGCTGAGCAATATAGCAGCAGCTGGTTAAAAACTAGACGGTCGGCTTATATTGGTGAAGAATATGTATTTGTATGTTGAGGCTGATTATCTGCAATAGAGCAAGAAGTATGAATATATGTAGAACTCGGGTGCTCCGTACAATTAGTTGTTCAAGTTTAGCTCATCTATAAGCTGTTCATTGAGAAATATCAACCATTGCTATTGTGTCCGAATTAATCTTGAACCATCGAACACCATGCAAAGCAAACCGCCCAGAGCCATGAGAACTGGTAGTGAAATCATACTGGTGTACATTACTTACATCATTAAGTCTGCAAAGACATGAGAGCCAAGAATCAGAAGTCAGAGAAGAGGAATATGCCTATAAATCACCAAGAAATCCAATACACCCCAGCCACCTCACAACAAACCTAAAGATTATCTCCTCTCCATTCTCCCAGAACAAAGGGTTTCACCTGACGGCACATAAGTCAAAGTCAAAAAACACCAGTAATACTCCAGTAAGCGCCTTCGGCATGTGATAAAGAAGAACAATCAGTAGTGGATGCTAGACAGCTCGCCCAAAATGAAAGCCAATATAAATAAGCCCTCACACCCTCGCTCCCCCATCTACCCTTCCCATAGGAAAACCAGTCCAGATAAGCTGCAAGTAAGAAGAAGAGGCCCGTAGCATACACACCATGTTCGTCCCAACCCCAGACCAGCTACAGCGTAGCGAGCGCTTCCGCCAGGCCGGGATGATCTGGCACGTAAGCGAGTCGGGCGAGGAGCAGGTCACCGTGCCCGTCTCATTCATCAACTTCAACATCACAGCTGACAATGACGCCCACATCGTGCAGCGCCGGTACTTCGTCGCCGCGCGCGAGCAGCTCCAGCGCCGCTTGCTCGCGTATATCACCTCGGGACACGAGCCCCCGGTGCCGGTGCTCAGGATCTACCAGCCCCCGCCTTGTGATTCTTGTTCCGAATCGTCTTCAGACTCTGAGGAGAGTGATGATGATGAGGAGGGAGAGGGGGGCTATGAGGCTGGTGATGAGAAGAGCGTAGAGGGTTCTAGCATTCGCGGCGTCGATCACGATGTTGACGACGGTGAGGATGATGGCTTCGATGAGCTAAGCGATTTCACTGTCCGGATGGAGTTCGTAGTGGAGGAGACCGTCTATGAGCCTGTCGAGGTGCTGCGGGAATTGGTCGCTCATGTTGATCGGATTGTTAGAGAGATTGACAGCACGAGACAACGTGTTTGGCCCCCCCACGCGGCCGGTCTAGGACTGGTGTCGGCTCGGATTGTGAAGGATGGGCTGCCGATGCAAGAGGAGCAGGAGGTTGATTCCGAGTGGCCGGATGACGAGAAGGAAGACTACTGTTCTTCCAGTTGCGAATCCTCCTCCGGTTACGAAGGAGAAGAAGAAGATTCTGAGTGGACGGAGGACGATGCGTCCTTTGACGAAGCGGAGGAGTGCTGTCCTAGCGCCTCGGATCGCTTTGGTGATAATAATGACCCGGAGAGTGCGGACGACAGCGAGGACGAAGAGAATCCCATCATCTACAGTGATGACGATGTTGTGCCGCTCGATGTTAACGAGGACGCGGTGCAAGCACGCGTCGCTTGGCTCCTACAGGATGCGATGAAGTCGAATCCTAGGCTGCCAATGTAAGCTTCCTTCGACTGTCTCTTGATTCCTTCTTGACCTGGCCTGTTCTCTTCCTAAGTTGTATTCTTTTGCACTCTTGCTCCGGTTATTGGGTATATACAAAGATTTTATTCAATGTAGAGAATTCTAGATCAAAAATTTGTTTCAGTTTCATGTAGATATAAAGCTGATGATGCAAAACTAAAGTGTCATTAGCCTGAGCTTGTAGTAGATTCTAATCAAGTACACAGTGTACCCCCCATACAGCGTCATGTGCATCCCCAACTCCATAGGCAGAAAAAAAAAAGCAACTAGAGGTATCATCTATGCGAGGTGTTGCGACCTCTCCCAAGTCTAATGCTAAATGCAAGAGTTGATCCGAAAAGCAAATTCGTCGAGCACGCATGAAATCAGAAACAAACCGACAAAAATCCTACAGTGGAATGATAAGGATCGAAAGCTTCAAGAAAAAGGGTAGACGAATATCATGTTGCTCGATTCCGCAACGCGAGGGCCTTTTTCAGCGTCTCCTGATCACCGCCCTCCCAAGCAGCTCGGATGGCTCGGACTAGTCCGAAGACCGCTTCGCGCGCTTCTTCCCTTGCCAGACCCGAGTGAAGAAGGGAATCGTATGGAGTCTGTGTGTGTCGGATATGCGCTTCCGCAGCCAAGATGGCCTTGCGCTTGTCCGACATGGTGGTGACGCGTCCCACGCGCCCAGCACCTTTCAAGAAGGCATGGTTGACAATTGTCTCCAGCACGTTCTCCGGCATGAGAGGAAACTGAGTGCGGAGGAGCTGACGGGCCTTGGAAAGGTCTCGCACATCCCGACTCTGGACGGCTTGAGCGCGAGAACTGGCTGTTTCCGCTGCGGAGCTGCGGACGGACTCGAAGATATCGGATGGAACACGCAGGCCGATGGTGGACTTTCCTTTGTCGTCCTAAGGGTGTGTTAGTAACCATACGGTTGCCATGGGGAAAGAGAGAGGGGCAAAAGGGGAAACTCACATAAACCACATAGACAACCTGACGAGCCTCTTTGGTCTTACTGCGGCAATGACGTGTAATGTAGACATCGCCCTTGGGGACAAAAGTATAGTTCTGGGGACACGTGTCTTGACGAAGGCAGTTCTGGATGGATTTGCGTATTGTTAGCGATCAATGCCCTTCCCAGTATGTGTCTGCACCGGGAGCCGCTGGATCAAGATGCAAGGGCGGAGTCGCGGACTCTCGACGACGGAGTTATAGTTCCCCTCTCCAACCTCCCTCCCCGCCCTTCACGAAAAGAGACCGTTTCTGCAATCTCACCTTTTCCAACGCATCTGAAGAAGGCGGAAGAATCGGCATCTTTCTTGACTTGGAGGGCTGCCATGCTGCCCGGAGCTGCGTCGCTGCCGCCTTGAATTTGGTGGTGTTCGCAGCGACTCCGAAATCTCCCCGATCGCGCTTCCTCTGAAGACTCCTTCTCCGTGCTTGTGCTAGAATCCCCCGGGGCGATGCCGGACTGGCTGCCAGGCCGACACCGGCTTTCTTGCGCTTGTCGAATATCTTGGCGAGCTTGGGTCGGCCTTTCTTGGATCGAGCGTTGACTGGCATGCTGGATCAGGATGAGAAAGTCCGGAGGAGACCAAACGAATGTACAGGGTCACTGGACGCGGGACAGATAGCGGTGAATGCGAGATTAATGGTTAGGAATCAATCAATATGCTTTATGCTCGGACGCAAGTGGTCGATCGGTGATGCAATGCTGTAATTCATCGGCGGACGGAGGATTCAATAGATAAGCGAGCGCAGGATTCAGGACGGGGTTCGACTATAAGACGAGGGGTAGATGTGAAAGAGTGACACATCCATTGTGACAGAGTGTGTGCTGTGTTATTCGTTCTTTGTTTTCAAGGGTCCATTATGAGGTGTTCTGGCGCAAGAGACTGCGCATTCGTTCCAAGTTGATGATGCCCAAAGAAGGTGGACTGGACAGCATTCAAGCCCCCCGGGGACAAATCGGCCGCATCGGAGAAAGATGTGGCGGTGAATAGGAAGTGTGGCTGATCCAATCAATGACTGAATATCAAGGCACCCAGGCTGTGGGACGGGCAACTGGTGAGTTTCGACATGGAAGGCGTATCACCGGCTCTACGCATTACCACCGCATTTATTATACCTGATACTGCAGCACTAAAGAAAGTGTGAGAGTATTAAGCTGAGAACCAGTGTAGTACACGGTTGCGAATATGTCTTTGATACTTAGCACACTGTCGCACATGTTGGCACATAGATCACTCAATCCGAGGCTTTCATTGTCTCTCATCTTGCGGACAAGAATAGCCGAGCAACCATTTACAGCCACTGATAGGAGAGATGAATACGATCGGATGGAACTGACCAGCTGAAAGGAAGTCAAAGCAATCGGTGGCCACAAATCCTGATGTGAGGCTGTCGAGTAATCTTCTGTATGCAATTACTGTGTAGTGGTATCCTGCTGCGTTGCAATCGTTCTCCGAACATACTGTCGATGAACTGCATCAACCGTATAGATCTCCCAAAGTGACAGATCACTCAGGGCAACCCGCCGATTACCCCATGGAGCAAGAGCATATCGATAAGCTACAGATGGCTGCATGTTGCCCAACAGCGTCCCGGATTTTGACTACAAGGAGCAACCGATGCTTGATTACCGCGCTGACTGTTTAGCTTTGATTGCCTGCATGAAAAGATCCGGCTACTCCACGTTCCTGTGAACGATGAAGAAGGGTTTCTCAGGCACTTCAAGACCCTAGTTGACTGACAAGGGCAAGAAGTAGTTCTCTGTTTGACCCTCCTGTCTCAGAACTTGCTGTGTCCGATTCAGCCCGCTCGTGTGTGTTTCGAAGAGGATTAGGGCCATGGAGCGCTCCCATCCTGGAAAGGTATGTACGGGTGCTCCCTTGCTGATGTCTTCAACTCTAATAGAGCCGAATCGATCGATGGGAGGGGCGCGTAAACGCACACGCTGCATTCGAGACCATGTCAGGGGCTGTGGATTTATTAAATAAGACAGGACTTGCTGTGTCCGTTCAGCTGCGTTACACGGCAGGGCGTCTTAACTACTGCTGCAGGTCCCATGGCTCGCGTGCAGGTCTAGCGGCTAAACGATTGATGGACGGTAAGTTAGTTGGTTGACTTGGTTTAAGGGTGAAGCTGAAAGGACAAGAGTCACCAACTTTTGCCCCTTAGGCCGACTACCAATCAATAATGAATAGGATGAGGGGTGACAATCAGAGCTGAGCAGGGACATACCTAGTGCTGAGTGAGTCCGTATGTGTATGGGTGACAGAACAACTAGACCATAAAAATTCGACCAGTCTATTCATCCATCCATTTCCTGGAGGGCCACTGTTCTGCCTAGGATAGGCTCCCATTTCCCCGTCCCCAACCCTCTTTCCGACCAATGGTGGCTCGCCAGGATCACAACCGGTCGTTGCTGCAGCAGACGGTGCAGCGCCAGTTATCCCCAAATTCACACTCCGTCGTTGTGCCCGAGATTAGTCTAGACTTAATTGGTATCGGGGCGTCTCACGCGGCGTCCGATCGCGCTGGTCGGGAGAGACTTATCCCAAAGAGGTAATATTACTTCCGGGTCGGACCTGGCCTGGACAGATTGGAGGGGTGAGCATGTCTAGGTAGTATCTAGTATTTCTCCATCACTAGTACCCTGTATTTGTTGAGCTTGCTGAGAGTGTCTGCTGAAAATAAAATGCACAGATTGAAATTGATCAAAACCCTTTTGTTTGTTTGTGCTTGTATCCCGTTTGTATGTGTCTTATGTGTCTTTTGTGTCTTACGTGTTAGTTGAGGCAGTGGATGATTGTGTCTACAGTATGTTTTCTGTCACCACGCCTCACCCGAGACGGAGTGGATAGCTGCAGCGGAGAGACGAAAGGCTAGCCTCAAGAATGGTCTAGCTGTCCAAGTTCAGGAGTTGGCATAATCAGGGCCACTTCTCTGACTTTAGTGACCACCATGTCGTCATTGCTGCCCCGATTCAGGGCCAAGACGAACCGAGGAAAGGAAATTAATCTCGGACAGTTCGAGCTCGCTCCGTCTCTGCTCATTGCTCCAGCTCCCCAACTCCCCAGCATTTACCTAGCTACGGCCATAGTTGGGCATGGAGCTGAACGAAACAGAATCCTTAGTAGGCTCATGGTCTAGTCCAGCCAAGTCGAGTCGAATTGAATCAATCAAACGACCCCAGGACGTCCGAGGGTCATTTAGTCTAGTACGTATTGTTCAGGAACGGGTTGCAAGGCTCCATCCACTTCCCCCTCCCTTTACCCCGTCGCCTAATGTAGGCTGGATCGACAGCAGACTGGGAAGGGAGTCTTCATCAAAGTCAACCTTGTCGAGAGATCTCAAACTCCGAGATGGAGTGGGGGTTGATCAGGCGTGATCGATCGACGGCGGCTCAAGGCCAGCAGAAAGCTTCAGCGGGAGGCATATCAAACTGAAGATGGGCAAAATAGGCAGAGACTCGATACCGTCACTTGTGAAATCTAGATCGGGAGTGCTTCGAATGTTCAATAGAAGGATTGATGAAGGTGTCAGCTCCCAGTAAAGCAGCTGAGCCAGCCAGCCAACAATTGCCAGCAGTGATCGTGCGGGAGAAGGAGATAAGACGATCCACGGGAATTGGACCGTCGTTCCTTGTTCTGGAAACCCTCCACGGGCGCTTTGAACCCCCTAGAGCTGTAGCTTCGTCCGCGTAATCTGTGGGTGGCCATGACCTTTTTGATTCTTCTTTCTTTACTTCTTTATTGCTGAGTTGCCGGTCTGGGGAATGAATGAGGCGGATATTGTTTTAGCTGGGGGTGCATTGATCGTTCAGGGCCAGCCCCGGATATCCGTATATGAACCCGCGGAACCTCGATCGCTAATGGAGCCCGATTCATATCACGACTGGTTCTTCTGCTCTTTGCGCTGCGAACGGAGTCTATTCAGCAGTCTATGATGCCCAGTCTTGCACATTCCTGCAGTATTCCTTGTCCTCATGGCATAGTATAATCACAAGCTTGCCCGAGTGAGCCGGCCGAGAGATAATCTTTCCATCAAGATGCCGAATCTCTGCCACTACCGGATACAGGGTGGAGGAAGATCGGGAAGGAGCATACTGGTTGGAAGACCCTCAATGATGATGATGATGATGATGATGATAAGAATGATGAAAGTACTAGAGAAAAATGACTGGAAGACCAGCAGCTCAAAGGCTCAAGTGTCATATAGTAGAGACACGATTGAACGAGATTGAACTGATGGCAGAACCGGTTCTGGAGTTCTTCATCCTTCCGTAGTCTTATTTTTTCTTCATTGAAAATGGTTCCCCAGTGGATCTGCGGATGTATGTAAAAAGAAAAAAAAAAGAGGGCAAGAAAAAAAAAACTGTCAAATTATTACCAAATTACAAACAGAGGAAAACGAAAACACAAAATTCAATTTCCTAATCTTGATCACTCTGGCAATTGCTTCCCTTTCTCAATTCGATTACTTCCTTCCTATTTGAACCACTTCCCTCCTTGACTGTCTCCTTGGGAACGAATATACAGTCAGTAGTTAGTTAACAACTACTACTACAACTACTACTACTGCCTCCGGTGCAGGGACTACTGCCTTACTACCTACCGATTGACGAACCGAACCTCCCCCTAGAGAACCAAGGTCCAGAGAAGAGAACTTTACTCTCCAACTCTCCAAACACACTCGAAAGAAGAGAAGAGACAAGACAAATTGAAGAAAACGAACACACATTCCGTTGGAGCACCCTTTGTTCTGCAGAAGCTCTATCATTCTTGGAACCTTTCTCTTCTTACTCTTCTTACTCCTACTACTAAAGTACTTCCCCCTCTCACAACCACTTAACCTCCCACCACCATCACTACCACCACCACTTCCTGCCCTTCTCTTCCCTCCCTCCCTCCCTCCTCCCCTTCACTCTCATTACGACCCTCCTTTGTCCACCCCCTCCTCTCGCTCTTTCTCCTCCCTAGGATTACTACCGGGATTCATTTCCCTGCCTCTCCTCCCGATTCGACTACTATGTGCTAGACCGTCAAATCCTCCTTTCCCGTCCGCTCAGTCCTTCGAGGGGTCCCAACGCAAAGCTCGAGTTCTATGACCCCGGGCAACTTCACATTCGTCGGCAATTTCGATCCCTACCGAAAACCCTTCTCCCGAACATTCCTGACGACTCGCAAACATCTTGAAAATTTCTGCGAGAGGGTTGCCTGGCAGCTTTGCAATTGAATGGTTGCTGGGATCACAAAGTTGCTGACATGAGTTGGGATCACCCCGTTCACAGGTATGTGGGATTTGGTTCATTCAGTTCTCTAGTCTCTCTCTTTCTCCCCTACACATACGGCACCACGGGCTGGCACAAGCGGGGTTGCTTTGTCTTCTTTATTCCACTCCACCTCACTCAAAAGCCACTTATGCTATACTTGTGCTTGCGTGCTTGTGTGCTTTAATTCCGCACCCCCCAGCTTTCTATGTGTATATAGTTGGCCCATATATACAATTTGTCCTCTCTGGCTGGCCCTAGGCTGGTTCCGCGGAGCTTTCAGTCGAACTTCCGCAATTCCCCCCCGAAGTAGCCGCTCATGTGCACAATGATACTGACGGAGCCGTCCTTTACGTTCAGCTTCAGCTATCCAAACGGTGAACCTCAGACCCCAACGAGGACTCCTCCGACGACCACAATCTTCGGTGATTCGGCCTTCCAGACCCCCAAACTCGAGTCCAGCTTCTTCGATCCCCGAGTCACTTGGGACACCTCCGATCCCTATGCCTCCAGTCCGGAATTCCTCCGGACACCCCAGAAGTTCGGTATAAGCACCCCTTCGATCAACCCTCTCCGATTGCCAGACACTGGGCCCGACCGACCGTTAGATGCAGACCCCAATTTGAGGAGCGCCAAAGCGGCGGAACAGGACACAGATACAGCCAAACGACGCCGGCCGTCCAAAGCCAATGGGTTTATCGGGGAGGACGGTCCGCGGACGGTAGACTCGGCCAAGTCTGCCGCCACCATACAAACACCCCCGCCGAGCAGCGCTTCTCGAAAGAAGATGACCGAGTATGGCGAGGGCAAAGGCACTGGGCGACGGACCTCCGCTTCCAGTGCGGTGGGCGGTCATCTGGAGACTCCTAGCAGGATAATGGGTGCCTCGCCTCAGTTGTTCAATTTCACCTCCTCCCCAGATCCGTTTCAACTGGGATCGATGAATCCCTCCGCATCCCCTCTATTCCCGCAGCAGAGACTTTTCTGGGATCATGACTTGGGAAATCATGGGGTAGGAATGGGTCTTTCGACAAGCGGTGTCGATCTATTCGCTCCGCAAACCAGCGGCCCCTTCCAGCTCAACCCTCCACCCCTGCAGGATGCCCATATCCCTCAGTTGCCCACCATCGAGGGTGGTATGGAACTTCCAGAGTTCAATACCAACGGCTATAACTTGTCGTCAACCACTACAACCGACGCCGCACTGTTCCCTGCCCCATTCTCTACTTCTCCTCGTCTACCGATCACAAAGGCTGAGGATCCAGCCATGTTTCTCAGCTCTCCGGCACGTCGTTTTGGGGGACCCCAGCCGACTCCCGAGAAGAGACTCTTCGGTCGGCCTACCCGACAGCCCTACCATCATCAGACCGAGGAGTCGAAGCGGGAAGAACTCCGCCGGGCACAGAGTGTACACCACCCGCTCGCCGCGTTCGATCACGAAGAGGACGATGACTACACTCCTCGACAGACCCGGCCGACGCTGACCCGTAGTGTCACTCACACGGCTATCACGTCTTCTCGCCCAGGTGCTGGGAGCACGATGTCTTTGGCGAATGGCATTCGCAAAAGCCCATCGAAGGGCCGCCTATCACCCGTTAAGTCGATGCGGCAGTCGATGCCCCGCTCAACGTCTGCGGCCAGTATACCTACACGTTCTCAGTCAGTGGTTCTCCGGATCGGACGCGACGGTCGAGCCAAGACCGAAATGCAGCCCGTGCAAGAGGCAGCGACTGGATTGACAGATCCCATCACCGCCATGGACTTGGAGGGCTCCACAACAGAGAGCGAGTACGACTCCGTCGATTACTCTGAATACCCCATCATCCCTAGTCGCAACCCCTCATTCGCATTCTCAGACGCTGGAAGGTCAGTGACGGGCCGTAGTGACTCGGGTTCACGGCCTCACTCAAAGGGCTCCTACACCTCGACGGCAGCATCGTCCCAGTCGGGACGGATGTCCCCTTGGAATGGATCTTCTCGCGGACTTTCCCGCCGACCTCAGTACAAACCTACTCTGGATGACTGGAAACGGACCCCGAAAAGACAGACCGGCATGCTTCACTCAGATCTGTCTTATCTGAGTGCCGGATCTCTGGGAGAGCCCTTCGATGATGTGGATGAGGACAGTGGCGATGCTCAGCACGCCCTGCGGAAGGTGTTGCAAGAGCGTGGCCGTCCGCTTCGGCCTCACACTGTCAGCTACAGCTCGCGGATAGGTCGTGCCAATCGTTCTCTGGCCCACCTTCGGTCGTCACCGCCGCGATTTGGAGCCGAACTGGATCTCGCTACGCGGACTATGAACACGTCTCCTACAACGATGACGGACCCTGACATTGCAACCCCGATCACGGACCGGTTCAGTAATCCAAGCAGGGGAACCAGGTGTGTTTGCAATTCCATGGACAACGGTGGTCACCTGATGATCCAATGGTAAGTAGTCCTGAACACCATAGCAGTCCTTTCCTAGCCTGACTCCGGGACAGTGAATCATGCAGTCACTGGTTGCATACCAAGTGTGTTGGTCTTGAGCGGGCCAATCTCCCCTCTGTTTATGTCTGCGTCTTCTGTGTTGCACAGACTCCAACTCGGAAGAATAACCGTGTTCGAGTTCCTGTTGGCAGAGTCGGCCATGGTCCCCCCTCACCCTTAGCCCATAAGTCCTACCGGTTCCGTTGAAATGCCATGGACTCGAACACGCTGGTACGACTTGCTTTCTTCACTCCTCGACATCAACCTACCTTCAATACCCTTTACCTCACGCTACCATAACTCATACCCAATACTCCTCTCTACTCAAGGAGCAGAGAGTCCCCACTATTCTGGGTCTCCTTTGTCATTTTTGTCCTGGATTTAGACATACCCCTTTTCCTTTTCTGAAACATACCATCTCCTTCCGGGCGGCTCTGTGTTTACATCACCGCAGTGATGAGGGTTACTTCCTTACTATGTTCCTAATCGTCCGGCAAAGGGCCACGTGATACCTTGTATTTTGTATGTAGCCAACGCTAATCAACCAAGAAACACACTCATGATGATGAAACATTTATCCTGCACAGTCGTTTGGACAATGCACTCGTCGCTCGCAGGAGGAAGAGCACAGTAGAGTTAACAGCAGATCACTACTTTGAAAGGCAACTGTTCTAGTTTTGTTTTCTTGTTCATATACTAGTTCCAGCGTAAATTGGACATATCTAGACTTAAGTTATCTGACAAAGACTACTAGGTTTTGAAGCTATATACTTGCCCTAAATTACAATCACTAGTTCATAAATTTAAGAGAGATATACAAATTTGAAAAGAAATCTATGATTTTAGTTATATCATGCAATATCTAAGTATTTCCAGAGGGTATCTTATATCTTCTAGCATTGATGAGTCTTGGTTTTTGACTATAGTAGACTAAGGTAACGGAACAGTGTCGACCTTGTTGATCCATTGCATCTTGACCCCTATTCCTGTCCATCACCTCCAACCTTGACAATGCCCCCGGTCACTCGCTCCATGCGCCGCAATCTTCCCACCTTCCTCCAGGAGTCGTCAACTCGCCAGTCAACCACGTCTCCGCCGCTGCGTCTCAGCGAACCCCCTCGAACTGGCTACCCCGGTCTCCTCGACTGGATCACCATCACCCCGGCTCTCATATGGGACCATGCCAAGCAAACCGATGCCATCAACGAATTCTTCGACCAGCTACAGGGCTATAGCTCCGTCAACCTCCGACTCCGGCGTTCCCGCCCCCTCGAAGCCCCGAACACCGAATATCTCATGATCGGTTCGTTCGATCCTGCCCCGTCCACTGTCCTTCTTTTGGGGGAGATACTGATGAGAAATCCCCAGAATGGAGCCACGCTTCCACCCGAGCCAAATTTCTTGACTCCGACGACTACACCTCGTTGATGAATCTCCTCGGACGATTGACACAGGGTAGATCCGTGCACCTCTCCTTGGTCGATTTCTCGTCCACGAACACGTACGCCTTCCACCCTGACAAACGGGGCCCCGTCGACCACTTCGAGCTCCTGATGGTCGACTTCCCCGGCAACCTGTCCGAGTCACAACGAAACGAAATCTCGCACCGGAATGGTCCGTTCAGTCTGCGCGGCTGGTTCCCCGGGCAGCCGTACGAGGAGATCGAGCCGCTTCCGCTGCACCAGTTGGTTGACTGGACGTGTGGGTGGCTGGTTGACACCACTGGTGCCGGTGCTGCTGCTGTGGATTTCCGGGGCCATCGCGGCGCGCAGTGCCTGGTCTACTTTCTGCGGTGGAATGGGTGGGCCGGGGAGAGGCGCTACAAGGCGATTCACGAGACGCATCCGGTGGATTGGTGGGGGGAGTTTCTGGCGCGGTTGGAGGAGTTGGGGATGCTGGGGTGGGAGAGTCAGCATGTGCGGTTTGATCGGCGGTCACATTAGCCTTGCTGTGCATATGGCGGGGCTTGGTGGGTTCTCTTGGTTTGGTGAGCGTAGGATGAATACGCATGAAGGGGTTTTGTTTACTGATTCGTTGGGGTGAAGGAGGGGAGGGTGGATGGGCTCCGGTCGGCTCTGAAGTTGTAAGGACGGTCTCTCGAATATCCTTCGGCAAGGATTGTATTCTGCCTCCATTTGCTTGTTGAATCGTATACCATCGCTGGCTGGTCTGATATAGCCCAAGTCGGAACTCTAGTGACGTTGCAATACCGGCGTTGTTTGGTCCAGTTGGATCTAGTAGTGGCTGTACTAGACAGCCGCTTTTGGGCCTGTGCCATCGCTGATCCACACATGGTGTAGTACTTCTTGGATGTTAGAAGGGTTATGGTGTTGTTCCAGACGTAGTGTACGGTTGGGCTACCAGCAAGGCAAGGGTCGCCGCGATTAACGCGGGCAGCACGTACCGGCAACGAGTCTGCAAAAACGTGGATGCCATGCTTCAGCTGGCGGAGAGTGAATGCATCAAGCGCACGCGGCCTGAAGACAGTAATGTCTGACGACAGTTCCCATCTAAGGAGAAAGTGCGGATAGTGGCAGTCAGAGTGGGCGGGGAGGACATTTCCAATGGTTTAGCCTTCATTTACTAGAACACGAGCTACGGAGAAAGAGCAACTCTCAGTGCTTGTTGGATTTATTCCTGCCCACCGGGCAACGATCTCTGTAGGCGTCGTATCTCGTCCAAACAGTCGTGATCCTTGGAGAGGCAATTCGACCCATTCATAATCGGCAGCGTCCCCCAACACAGCGTCGAAATCCAGCTACGATCAGCCGTGGCGACTACTGAAAGCTCACCGATACGTACGGTGTTTCAAGTCTGGTTGCACACGCTGGCACCTGGGTCTCTCTTGCGGTAGGCCCTGTCGGATTGGTTCACATCCTTGGAATCTCTTTCGTGCTCGTCAGCCTCACGCTTCCTTTGCTTTGGGACGGACTATAGACCCTCCGAGTCGTCGCTTTCAGATGAAGGGTCCTGTGGCCCCGAATCACTAGACTCCATGAGCTTCCGGCAAGAACTTGGAAGAAGTCATGCAAGGATCTCCGCTTTACGGTCCTCCGTAGACAGTTGCATGACCATGTCATCCATTTTGAACGGCTTTTCATTCTCGTCTACTGAATTGCACGCGACAAAGGTCACAGTTTGGAAGACACAACGCCATTTCCAAAAGCAGCAGCAGAATGTCCTAGCCTCTTGAGCATCATCAAAGAACGTCTGCCGTGCTGCTCCAAGGCGGTTGGCGACTCAAAGCCCGCGAATCTGAATATAGCAGTCGACTCGGCCACTCGCTGTGCATACTCAGAGTGAAGTCGATAAGTATATCGCCCCGTCGTAACTCTGCAGCTCTCGTGGAGAATGCCCCACTGCACTCCTACCCCGTCGGGAATGTCAAGACAATCTCATGCTCGACAGGGCATCTCTCCCCGCGCGTTGCGGGCTGGGGATCCAGCGCTTCAGCTTCAACTTCTTCCACTCTGAAAGTTCTGTCCAAGCGGCATAGCCGTTTCAGTCCGTCGACCACGTCCTGTGAACACCGGCGCGTTGATTGATGCCCGTGCAATTGCTGCGATTTCTTGTACACTTTGGTGGCGCTGCGGATTATGCAGTGGTGCTTGGAGACTTATGGTCATCAGATGTAGGATAAGATTTGTTCACGGTTTCTTGTGGATCATTCTTGGAGAAAGGATGGCTGATCTGATTGAGATACGAATCGGGCGGGTGCATTATGTAGGCTGGCCCGCCGCGAGAGATGGGAGACGTTCTGCGTCGGAGAAGTAGAGTCTGTGTTCAGGGGCGGCATGTATGAGGTGTAGAGATGGCAAGCCATAAATCGAGGTTGGACTGGGTGTAGCTCAAGCTGTAAAGGATGCCAAAGGATGCCTTTGACCCTGGTTGAAGTTGAGGTTGAAGATGAAGATGAAGATGTACAAGACGGACTTGGATTCTGGCCAATGGGAGATGGAGAGAGGAAGGTAGGAAGGAAGATAGAAGGAGAGGAGAAAGAAGAGACAATTCAAGCCGAAGCCTGCTGAAGGTCACGATGATGGCTGTGAATGGTATTGGGAAGAGATCATGTTCTCCAGGTATAGAGTTATCAACACAACAAGACAGTGGTAATTTAGGCGCTGCTATTGAGTTAAGGTGGTATTCTCCATTCCATCCAGTGACAAGCTACAGTACAGGACACATGGTGAATCATTTTGAATCTGCGACTTACACACCCACATCCAGATCAGATATTCCTATACAGCAATTAGAATCTTCAGTAGCCTTGATAAGCTGCTGAATATCTAGCACAGAGACCTAGTACTGATTCGACGAATAATCTGTATGTACAACAGAACAGGCACCCGCCATACCTCGAAGCCACAACACCCATCGACAGCACAAGCAGCAACCCTTCACTCCAACCACCAAAGTGAGACATACCTCTTATCACCGACACACTAAGAGAATGTCTTACACCAATTGCCTCAAAAAGCAAGCCCCAATGGGGCAAAATCAAGCAGAATTAATGAATCCAGACAATATGACTCACGCACCCGTGCGCCAACACGAGATTAAGAACAAGAAAACCCACCTCAAAACCATAAATACATTGACTGGACCCTGGATTCCCAACTCAAATTCCACAAAGACACCACTCAATTCTCTTCATGTACTAGACACCTTCCCCTCCGATATCTATCTCTATATTGCAAAAACCCCAGGCCCAGACACAGGAATAGCACCAAAAGATGTACCCCCCGCCAACCTTCACCAGCCCGCGCCTCCTCTTCGAGGCCATGACGCCCGACGACCTGGACGCCATGCATCAGATCCGCAACAAGCCCGAGGTCATGCAATGGAGGTAAGTATTTAGCACTCCCTGATCGTCCTGATGCACGACCCCCGAAAACTACGTTTACGGTACTAATATGACCGAAAACCCAGCTTGCGCAAACTCCCCGACCAGAACCTCGAAGAAACCCGCACCTGGCTGACGAAGTTCATCTCGGGGGAGAACAACCACCCGCCTCGGACGTGCTACGTTGTTCGGGAATTGTTACCAGCTTCCACTACCTCACCCGAGGAAACTCCAGCAGCAGGCCCGGTCATCGGCAACATGGGCGTGCGGATGGAGCCCGCCCCGACCCAGCGGGACGATCCTGGATTAACATCTTCGTCCTCGCAGCAGCAGCAGCAGCAGCAGCAGCAGCAGCATTCCCCAAGCAAAGACCGCTGGGAACTGGGGTATATCTTCCACCCGGACGTGTGGGGCCGGGGGTACGCGACGGAGGCGGTGCAGCACCTCAGCCAGAAGTTCTTCGGGGAACTGCAGGCCCAGATGACGGAGGCGTTTGGCGCGGAGGCCACGGAGCATGTCGAGGAGGGGCTGTGGGCGATCACGAATCACGACAATGCGGCCAGTCAGCGGGTGCTGGTGAAGACGGGGTTCGCGGGCCCCGTCGAGGAGTTTGTCGAGGGGGATGGGACGCGGTGTGTTGTTTTTGTGAAGTATAAGTGATATTATATACCCTGAAGTTCCTTGGGGGTATCTTCCCCCCTGCTATGTGTCTCTTTCTATTTTGCTGGGGTTTGGGACTGTGTTTGGACGGTAGAGTGGGATAGAGAGGTGTATATAGAAATCGTGAGTCTGGAAAAAGCTGCTGGTCATGCATAATTTTGTGGTTCGTAGCAGCAAGACAACTAGCTGTCTATTTGTTGAGTCGAGCAGTCAGCGTTCTATCGCCTGCGTCCTCGGATCTGGTTCTAAACCATTGCGTAAGCATCATGCATCTCAGTCAGTTGTATCAGTGACAACTCGGGGTATATACATCGTAGTATGGTATGGTATGAAGTAATGACAGTAATGCAGAGGTAAGCGTAGGCAGGAACCAGTATCGCGCGTATCATAGATACTACCATAAACAAGCCGCCAAGGAGAACTCAACCCACGCCCAGAACACAATGCAGGCGTATCGAATATATCAGTAATAGATAAGAGATAAGATGGCTAAAAGCAAGCCGATAGAGACAGAATCAACCACATCGGATCCTTTCGTTGCGGCCACAAAGAATCTTTTCCTCCATCGAGGCCTGCAACCGACCAGGGAATAATTCACCCTCCGATAGAATGGAGCTTTGTGACACAAACAGAAACACCAGACTCCGTGAATCCCCTCCCTATTGCATATACCCAGTCATCGTCAAGCGGGCATCCCGTACAGCCCTGGTAAGTATTATCCAAAATAAAGTAACAGTCCATCTATCGTAAAGGCAGCTATACCCGACATAGGAGCTCGGAGACCGCAGGCACCGGCCCTTATGCCATGGAGTTCGTCATGCAATGTTCCTTTGCACAGGAAGCCAAACTCCTCACTGGCGACGTTGGCCGGTACGTTGTAATTGTTCCCCGATGCGGAGAGCCTCTGTACCGTCATCCACCAACGACTCTTTGAACCAGGGGTGCTTCAAGGCTTCCTTGGCAGTGATCCGGTTCTTCGGATCATACACAAAGATCTTTTGCAACAAATCCAGGAACAGTCGATGGAACTTGGTATTGCTTGGGATAAACTCCTGGGACTCGTCAGTGGTGGCTACCGGAGGCTGGCGATGTACTATGACTTACAATGAGCTGTTTCATCGCCCGGACGTACTTTCGTGAAGCCCGTGTTGTCTGGTCATTAGGATATTCAAGGCGTAGGCGGGAGAAGTACCTTTCCAGATTAGTATGATCTAAGAGAACGAAGACGACGAACATACTTCGCAGCCTGATTTTGGCTTCCACTCCGACCTCCCTGCATCACTTGCCGGACAAGCCGCGTGTCGATTCGCTCCCCGATGACGGCCTCCATCATGGCCAGATGCTCGAGATTATCATGCGTTTGGAACAGAGCATCTCCCGTAAAGAACTCCACGAGGATACATCCGATACTCCAGATATCGCAGGGAAAACTCCAGCCCAGGTTCAAGATAATCTCGGGAGCCCGGTAGTGCCGAGTAGAGACCACCGACGAGTGGTACTCATCATCGAAGGTGGCCGATCCGAAGTCAATCAACCGGATCTCGCTATCTAGCAAGACACGCCTCTGCCGGGCGCTCCGTGAAATCGCGCAGGAGGATGAGGGGATGGTACGGTTATATGTGAAGGTCTGGTATGCGCTGCTAACAAGTAGGATGTTCTCAGGTTTTAGATCAGTGTGGATGAGGTTGAGGTCATGGAGAACTGCACAGTCAGCATCTGCAGAGAATCAACAGCCAAGGAAACTCACAAGCAACACTGGTGAACAGTTGCCGGGCGAAGTTTTGAATCTGACTGCTGGGAAACGGCACGAAGGCATTTCCCTTGAGGAAGTCAAAGACACTCTGTCCCAGCAGATCTGTCACAATGCAGATGTGGTTGCGGAAATCGAAGCAATCCCGGAGGTGAATGCACTTGTTTCGATTGGCTTTATCATTCGAAGCCAAGGTGGACAGGACTCGCAGCTCGATCCGCGAGGCATCCCGATATTTCTGAATGGAGCGGATGATTTTAACCGCACAGCGGGTCTTGCGGGTCTTGTCGTACGCCTCGACCACCTTCCCGAATGTACCTTGTCCCAGTAGTTTTACGATCGAGTCTGCAGGCGTTAGTTCGGGCTTGCTTCCTTCCGTAGACATCAATGACTTACATCGATCGGTCAAGGGAACATTTGGTGTCACAATGTAGTGACCGTCATCATCATCATACTTCTCGCCCCTATTTCCATACTGCACATACCATTAGCGCCACTATTTTGGGAGGGGATTTTAGTCACAATACTCACATCGCGAATCACTGGCACCGGCACATCCTTCGCCTTGATGATGGGCTTCGGAGGCGGAACGTAACTCAGGAACGCATCACCAGCGGCCTCCAACTCCTTCTTTTTCTGCTCATCACGAGCAGACTTCCGGGTGGTCACTCGCTTGCGTTTTTGGCCTGTGTTGGCGTCTTCGTAATATAACCCGTTGCTAGCCCCCGTGCTACCCTGAGACAGGGAGGTGGGCGCGGTAGTATGTAGAGATGTTGTTCGGTCGGTGGAGAGAGACTCAGCTGAGGACTCTTCGCCATACTGTTGGGGGTTGATCGAGAACGAGGGTCGATCGTAGGTTGCAAGATCGTAAGTCGTGTCGGGGCCGGTGCGCCGCTTCTTGGTGGCCGGTTGGGGCGCCGCCCCATTGGGTGCGTTGATATAAGCCGTCGCCGGATTGCGCGAAGCGGCCTGGGACTGCTCTGGAGGCGGCGTGTCATCGATCACGATGACTTCCTTGGGTATGCCGTTCTTATAGAATTCGCCCCAGTTGGGTTTCCTCCTCCGACCATTTTGAGCGGCTGATAGAGCGTTCATCGGGTTCTGCGCAGGCGGCATAGCGGTGGTTGTTGTGGAAGGGATAGAGGGCGTGGGAGCCGGTGGTAGTGTCTTAGGAGATTGGACAAAAGGGAGAGAGGTAGTCGGGGGGTTGACAGTATAGGGATAGGCGGAGGTGACGAGGCGAGCGGTGCCTGCAGCGGACGTGGTCGGGTAGGATGGGGTTGGCTGGTAAGGTTGATGATGGGGGTATGCGTAGTGTTGCTGATGGTGCGAAGGGTGTGTCGCGGTAGCCGTTGAAGGGGTAGACATGATGCAGAAGAGGGGACGCGAGACCCAGCCGGTCCAACTGAGCGGCGGATGGTCGGCGAGAGAATGAGAGTGTAGACGAGAAGAGTCAACGAAGTTGATGGGGATTCTGGGGAAGGGAGAGGGAGA